GTAAAAACAAATACAGGGTTATTTGGTGCCTTTAGCTGGAAATTACATAGCTTAAAGCTGGCCGTCGTAAGACCAAATGAGCTATGATCATCAAAATGACTGGGAATTAAGAAAGAAAATTAATTCCCAAAGGAAATCACTGCAGAGCTCATTATTTCAGGAATAACCTACCTTAGGACTTTAATTAAAAATAATATTTATTCAAAATAAATGAGTGCTGGCAGGTTTGTGCGGAATCCATATCTTGGCTATGCTAAATCTTCTTAGATTAAGGCGGGCATCATTAATCTCATTTGAGATGCCTTCCAGTGTGTCAGCCCTTGTAGCACGGGGCAATCCTGTGCAAAAGCCTTTTTATCTGCACAAAAGAGCAATAATTCATGCAGATACCTAATGTAAGAAGGTCTGGGCAATTAGAGACATCACTCCGAGATCCACTACGGTACTTCATCATGTCAGCAGCAGCCCATAATGAGTCTGTTCTCAGAAGGAGGCCAGCAGCTCACACATTACCATCAAACTAACCGTGGTCCCTTCATCGTTTTATTTATTTATGCCTACCAATCTTTGTTCCAGAGAATGATTCGGCAAAATTCATAGAATATCACCAGATAAAAGACCTATTCCAACAGGTCAATATAGAAAACGGGAGAATGAGAGGAGAAAGGAAAGATGTTAAAGAGAATGGGGCTAGTGCTCAAAATGAGTACTGGGAAGTTGGGTGAAGACGTGGTGTCAAGCTGGTGACCGCCAGGTGATGGTGTCGCTCTGAACATATCATGATTTTGTTTAGTTTTTTTCAGTTCTGGGCCTTTTTTCTTGACAGGCAGGTACTCCACTCCTGAGTTATGACTCTAGCCATGTTTTATTTTTCTGATGGCAACTTGCTTTCTGACCAGGCATATGTCTGAACCGTGATCCACCTACTTCAGGTTTCCCATAGTTCCTAAGATAGCAGGCCCATGCCGCCACACCCAGCTTCCCTCCTTTCTGTCTTCCCCAGGCTTCTTTGTTGGGGCTTGATGGAAAAATGATCCTCCCTATCTCAACCCAGCCTTCCTCATAGGCAGGAGGACAGGTGTGTGCCACCAGGCCCAGCAATGGGCTGAGAAGAGCTCTTGAAAACTTTTCTGGCCTAGGCTAAGCTCAAAATGTCGTCCTTCCATCTTAGCCTCCAGAATAGCTAGGATTAAAGACATCAACACCTGACACATGCATGTACTGGGTTAGTACACCCATACACACACAGACACACACACACAAAAAAAAAAAAATGCAGGCCTACCTGTCACCTGTGAACCTGGCCCTTGGAAACAAGAGTTTACAGATAGATCTGAGTTAAATGAGATCATGCCGGGTCATGCTTGGCCTTACAACAGCCATCGCTGGCATTCTCGAGAGGACAGGGAAATTGGATATGGTGATCACGGTAGACAAGACCACATCACCGTGGTGGCAGAGGCTGGAGCTGTACGGCAGGTCCATGGACATAGTAACACGAGAAGCTGGGAAAGGGGAAAAGGAAAGGTTCTTCCTCAGAATGTGCCAAGAGAACAAGACTGCAACAGCTCAGCTTTGGGCTTTTAGCCTTCAGAACTGTGAGTGAAATTTCTATGGTTTTAAACCATCTAATTTATGGTACTCTGTTACAGCAACTCTGGGCTGGAAAGATGGCTCAGTGGTAGAGTGCTCGCCTCGCATGCATGAGGCCCTGTGTTCGATTCCTCAGCACCACATAAACAGAAAAAGCCAGAAGTGGCTCAAGAGGTAGAGCAGTAACCTTGAGCTGAAGAGCTGAGGGACAGTGCCCAGGCCCAGAGTTCAAGCCCCACATCCAAAAGAAAAAGCTTGCCTCTGTTACAGCAACTCTAAGAAATTAATAAAACATGTAAACATTTCCCCTAAAATCCTAGGATATATACACATTGCAAATACCAAATGAAAAGCTGAAAGAAGTAATTGTTTAAAAAAAATACTTAAGTACTTAATACCTATGGTTACTGCCTTTTTCTGGCTGATGACAAAACCTAGCAAACAACTAATGTTTAGAGAAACATAATCTTGAAAATGGGCAATCACAGATTAATAGACTGTTTTGTTGTTTTGTTTAAATTTTGGCATGACTGCGGTTTGAACTGAGGCCTTAAACTTGTTAGGCAAACACTGGGCCACTTTCCAAGTACCTGCCATCTTTCTTTTTATTTTTCTTTTTTTTTTCATTTTTACTTTTTCCCCCTCGCCACCCCATGACCCACACCTGTCATCTTTCTTGCTCATGGCTGGCACTCTACCACTTGAGCTACACTTCCAGTCTAGCTCTTTGCTGGTTAATTGCAGATGGAGTGTTGGGAACTTTTTTCTGTGAGCCACGGGCACCTGGCTGTAGTAGTACTATAAAGAACTCACATTTCCTCCCAGCTGATATGTGTCCCTCCCAACCTTAGAAGCAGATCCAATGGCACCACAATTGTGACTTGTTCCCTGTTCTGTTTCTAGAAACATTTTCCTTCCAGCCCACCAATTCTCAAAAACCTTGCTTCCCAAGCAGATAATACCATGCAAAGACTGCTGTGTAATTGAACACCAAAGCGCAGCGTGCCAAGTTCTCAGAGCTGCTGTGTGGCCTGCCTCCAACGAATGCCAGACTTCCCTCAACAGTGGTCATTCAATCTCTTGAACCAGTGCTGACTGCTCCTTCCCAGGGCCTCTCTCTGTGTTAAAACAAAGACCCACTAGCCACAGTAACTGTGGTGAAGGTGTTTATTCGTGGTGGTAGAAACGCCAGGACTCTGGGGACCTGTGATGACGTCAAAGTCCAACACTTAAAAAAAGGCTTCTTTCTCTCTCGTAGCTACGTGGGAAGTCTCAGCCATAGGATGAGAATTCCACAGAACTTGTGGATTTCGCTAGTGAAAGAGCTCACTGTAATATGAGTGCCAGAATCCAGGGGAGTCCATCCCAAATGTCTACAACAGTGCTTGGGGTAGAGCTGGCCCTTAAAAAACATCTGATTGGAGAAATGTGAATTAACTGACATTGTGGACTTTCCTTGCCTTGGGGTTTTGCATTTGTCTGTTGGGTGTCAGTATGTCAGTACCAACTCAGGGCTCTGAGTTCTCACTTGACTTTCTTATGACTAGGACTCTACCATTTTTGCCACACCTCCACTTCTAGCTTCTTGCTGGCTAATTGGGAGATAAGAGTCCCTCTGGTTTGTCTGCTCAGGCTGGGTTCAAGCCACAGTCCTGAAATCTCAGCCTTCTGAATAATTAGGATCTTAGACACCCAGCTCTGTTTTATTAATTGGACCTTAACCCTGAACTGTCTTCACCTCATTACTGACCGCACCCTGCACCCCCTTTCATCGTTTTTTGGCTTCACCCGGTGCCCTCCTTAACACACTGTGCTTTCACTGTGTCAAAGAGAAAAGAATTTCAGATGCTTGCAAAATAACTCTGCTGTGAAATTTAGTAGTTTTCTAAACTAGAATTAGTAGTTTCCTACTCTAGGGAGCTCATAGGCTGTTTGCTTACTTGGGAAATAAATCATATGTATTAATACTTATTCAATCTATCATAAACAGCATAAGTTATATTCTATTTATTAAATATTAAGTATGTGTTATTCAGCTAAGCCAGCAGCCTGTTTGCTCCACGGAAGAGCTGTGGCAGCTTCTCTCAGGCTGAGAAGTCTGTCCTGCCTCCCTGGCTCGTCTTAGAGGAAGGAAGCCGGCCAGAGCACTTGGCTAAAGGTGTGTGTGTGTGCATCTGTGAGGTCCAGGGGACCACGTTTCCAGCTCCCAGAATAAACCCCGAGGACTCTCACGGCCTCCCAATCGGGCCTGCGCGCTTCTCCACCCCGGCGGGGCCCTTCCGCCCGGACCCTTGGCCCCTGCACAGCCCCAGGCCACTGTGCCCACCCCAGACCCCGCAAGGCCCCCGGCCTGCCAGCCTAAGGCCTTCTCCCCGCGCTCGCACGCTGGTGGCTCCAGCCCTCTGGTCTCGGCTTCTGCCTCCTCGGCCTGAGTCCCTGTTCCCCGAGGCCCCGAGGCCCCCAGCCCCAGGACTGCGAGTGTGGGGGCCGCGATAGCCCCCATACACACCCATCCCACCTGGACTACTCCTTCCATTTGGACCCGCTTCCCTTGACCACAGTCGTGGTGGATCTACAGCTTCGCGTTTGAAGCCGGTTTCCTTGCCTCAAACAGAAACAAATGGTGTGCACACAATTATACGTATAGCCGAATGTTATGCATATCATTGAATAAACAGCATTCAAGTCTGTCCGGGGTATGAGCCCAGCACATGCTGTGGGACCCCATCTCAACACCCGACCGGGCACGGCGGGGCACGGCATCATCCGGGTGGCAACCGAAAAGCCGCGGCACAGTTCGGACTGTGCAGGCACACAGTGAGGCCCCAACCCCAAAAATACCCGACTCGAAAGCGGGCCGCGGGTGTGGCCCAACCGGGGGAGCACCAGCGTCGCCAGGCGAGGTCCAACCCCCCCCCCCCCCGCAAGGACGGAGTCTGGCTGGGTACGGAGCCTGGGACGCCGGCTTCGTCCCGGGCTGGATCCACTGGCGGCTGGGTTAAAATGCTGGGGGCTGGGGACGTGCTGGATCGACTTCCAAACGCGGCCTGACGGCTGCACGAGGCCCGGGGGCACCCCCTGGGACGTTCGGCGCGGCTGGCACCCGCCCGGGGTCCCAGAGAGGCCCGGGGTCCCGGAGACGGCGGGGGACTGTTGTGGCGCCCGCCTCCCTGACAGCTTGCACGAGGCCAGGGGTTGCCGGGTGCGACCAAGACGCACTCCCCGCCTCCGGCTTGTTGACCGCGGTTGCCGTGGCAGCGCCGCGCGTTCCCGCCTCCTCGTGTGACGTCAAAAGGGCAGTGCCCAATAGGAGGGCCGCCCGGCGTCTGGCGCCGCCTTTCCCAGCAGGCTCCGCCCTGACGGGGCGGGGAGCCGAGCGTCGACGGCGAGTGGGGCTCGCGCCGCGGCCGCGGTTCTGACCCCGACCGGCTTCCCGCGACCCCGGCCCCGCTTTCCGCTCTGTGGGCGCCCGCCGCCCAGGCCTGAGCCACGATGTTCCGGATGCTGGGCGGCAGCTTTGACGACGACCCCTTCTTTTCGTGAGTGCGGCCGCGCGGGGCGTCGCGGCGTCGGGGGCCTGGGAAGGAAGGGGGCGGGGGTCGTGAGGTCCGGGTAAGGATCGTGAAGCCCGGGCGGGGGTCGCGGGTTCCGGGGTGGGGGTCGTGAGGCCCGGGCGGGGGTCATGAGGCCCGGGCGGGGGTCGCGGGTTCCGAGGTGGGGGTCGTGAGGTCCGGGCGGGGGTCGTGAGGCCCGGGCGGGGGTCGCGGGTTCCGGGGTGGGGGTCGTGAGGCCCGGGCGGGGGTGGGGGTCGTGAGGCCCGGAGTGGGGGTCGTGAGATCCGGAGTGGGGGTCGCGGGTTCCGGAGTGGGGGTTGTGAGGTCGGAGCGGGGGTTGCGGGTTCCAGGCGGGGGCAGTGAGGTCCGAGGCGGGGGTCGCGCGTTCCGGGCCGGGGGGCCGAGGTCGTGAGGTTGGGGCGGGGGTCGTGGGTTCTGAGGTGGGGGTCGTGAGGTCGGGGCGGGGGTCCTGAGGTCCGGATGGGGGTTGTGAGGTCTGGGCAGGGGTCGTGGGTTCTGAGGTGGGGGTCGTGAGGTCCGGGGGGGGTCGCGGGGTCTGAGGCGGGAGTCTTGAGGTCCCGAAGGGGGTCGCGGGGTCTGAGGCGGGGTCGCGGCCCGGCGCAGGCCCGAGCCGGGAGACCAGGCCATAGCTCTAGAAGCCGAGCCGGCCCCCCTGCGTGCCACGGCCTCCGGGCTGGGAGAGGGCCCGGCGGGCTGCAGGCCTGATGGAGCCCGCCCTGTGTTCGACCTGCCTCAGGTTGGGCCCTGCCGGGTGTTCCGTCCAGCCCGTGTTCGGCGCCCGGCCCCTCCGTCCACCAAGGTGGCCGCGCAGCTCGGCGCCTGTAGAAAGGTTTTCAGGTTGAAGTGTGTACTTGAGTGAAGTTCTGAACACTGTTTCTGAAGAAAAGTTTTATTTGGCGTGAATGTGTGGCTTCTGATTAAAAATACTAAATATGAAGGGGAATCACTGAACAGATACAGGTGACATCGATCAAGTTCACAAACTACTTGTGTGAACAGCAGCTCCTTCCTACAACTTCTTAAAGGTCATAAAAATATCCCCAAACAAATGATTAACCTAGAAAATGTTCATTCTGATTCAACTGTACGTGACCCAAGCAAATTTATTACAACAGCTTAACTCATTTAAGAGCTGTTGGGACAGTTGTGGTCAGTGTGATTTATTTTTTAACAAATTTAAAATTTAAAAATGTAGTGTTTGTGTTTTCTTTAAAAAACAAAAACAAAACCTCTGAGAGCCAGGATTGACTTTATCCATAGATGAGCTGAGCTGTTGAAGTGGCTCTTATGTATGTTTAACGTCACCAGTTAGGATTATGATGTATAATTTTTGAGTTGAATTGTATCCCTAGTTATCCCAAAAGGAGCAATACCTTAATTAAACCTTGGATGCACAATTAGTATCATCTTGAAAATGTCTAGCAGAAGTGTAATTTAAACTGTTGAGTGACTCTGAGCAAAGGCAATGAACCCAACACTCAGGACCAGAAATAGTAACAGACCACAAATAGTCAGTATCAAAGACACCTCTGGCCTGGAGCAAAGAAGGGCTGTCAGCTAACCTGAAGTCCACTCACTCAGGCACTTGTGCCTTCTTCAAAGACAAGCAGAAATGGACTGGTTGTAATTAACTTTGTAAAACTAACCCATGCTTTTAGTGTCTTTCCTTCACAATTGTATATAGACTCTTTTTGAGGATAAGAGGAGAGAATATGAGTCTATATTTATTTCAGGTAATCTGCCATTTGATCCACCCCTCTTACTTACTCTAATCCCAAAGTGAGTATCCAAGACTAAATGCAAATCAAACATTGTGTTGACCCTGGTGTGAAAATCACAGCTCTTGCCCAGCGTCTTTAAATAAATATATCCTGTAGCCAACATTGTATCTGGTCACTAGGTTCCCTTGTGCATGATTTAACATGATGTTCTATAAATGCCTTGTAAGGGTGATCTGGTGCCCGTTATATTGGATCATCATTATTTTTATTAAACAAATCTCATTGTAGATAGCATTGTCTAATTACAACCCAACCATCTCTAAATAATCCACTAGCCCCCGAGGTGTCAATATAAATACATCGAGCTAACCATTCAAAACAGGCAGGCAAAATATATAAACTTCTTCGTTATAAAATTTGCATTAGGGGCTGGGAAGGTGGCTCAGTGGTAGAGCGCTTGCCTTGCATGCCTGAGGCCCTGGGTTCGATTCCTCAACACCACATAAGCAAAAAGAAAAAAGCCGTAAGTGGCGCTGTGGCTCAAGTGGTAGAGTGCTAGCCTTGAGCTGAAGAGCTGAGGGACAGCGCCCAGGCCCAGAGTTCAGGCCCCACAACCAGACCCCCAAAAAAAAACCAACAAAAAAAAATAAAATTTGCATTAGGATAAGCAGGCTCACATCTGTAATTTTAGCTGCTCAGGAGGCTGCAATCTGAGGATAGAGGTTCAAGCCAGCCCTGGCAGATAAATCCATGAGAGGTGGAGCTTTGGCTTAAGTGGTAGAGCACCAGCCTTGAGTGAAAAGTGAAAATAATAGTATTTCATCAAAAAAGTATAAGAACACTTAAAAAGTGATATTTTTCTAAATTTTGTAACTGTTAAAAATGAGGAGTAAAAGGTGGCACTTCTGCCATCGATTTTCTCTTAAGAATAGTACTTTTTTCTCAAACTTGTATTTTCTAAAGATACATGTATAGGCAGAAAAACTTAATTTGAGATTAAAATGATTTTGGCCTCTATTTATACCCTAAACAACACTGATGATTTAGTGTGAGCTCAGAAATACCCAGTATGGTTTAGAATTTTCTACTTGGTACAGAAGCATGATCATTAATCTTATGTGCTATAGAAAATAAAACTCTGATCAGAATTTCTTTCTGATGAAATTTTAATTTGGGTAAAAGTAGTTCCATAGTCAGTAGCTATGTTATCACTTGTCAGCTGATAAAAATTAAAAGCAGGCTGGCAAGTCTATCAGCTTGTTTTTAATAATTAATTCTTGTATTTTCCCTAAGCAACTCAACTCTTCCTATGTGTCTTTCTCAGCAAGAACTAACACTAGTATATCTATAATCTCTATTTTTAAATTTTTGGAAAACTTTATTATTTTTCATCTTAGAAGTAGTTGGATTTATTAATGGATACTACTTTGAACTATCCACTGACTGAACTGAATGAAAGGCACACACTGTTTATGACTGAGAACACTCTTATAACAAGAAATAAAAGTATTATTAAGTATGCTTTTCTAAACAATGCCAAGGCTATTTAAACATAATACCTAATAATACTTAATAGAATCTGAGGGTAGAGATTCACCAAGATGTTATAATCTGGTTCTATATTTATTCTGCCACAGACATCTCTTGATCTAATTGTTTAACAAAAGTAACTTGAAAATTCTCAGCTAGAATCAAAGGTTCTGATTTTCAAGGCCCACTTCATCCCAAGATACTCAATAGCTACTGTCAGAGTAGCTACCTTAACTTTCTCCAGGTATTTCAGTACAGAAATTTGTTTTAAATGAACTTGGCAAATTCTGAGGTCATATTTGATAGGAGGTAGCGCTATAAACTTTGAATTGGAAGACTTTTTGATCTTGGGTCATTTATTTGGTTCATGAGTCACAAGCCAAGCAGCACCAGCTGAGCATGGCTCTATTGCTGGCTGAAGGAGTCACCATGGATAGCACCGCCCCACAGCATTGCCCCGTTCTAGCGGCAACCGCTGCAGATACCCAGGACAGTAGAGGAGGTGCTGTAGAATGGTGCCCGTGGCTCTCAAACATGTTGCTGCCAAGGATGAGCTCTGCACCGTTTTAAACTGCACTTTTAGCAGAGGACATGAGAAATGCCTTCTGCCTTCTGGACCTTTAATCCATTGAAGTACTTCTACCAGGTCTAGTTTCTACTCTACACAGACTCAGCTCTGTGAACTCTACTATAAATCTATAGAATTCATGCCCTCCAGATCCCATTTTATGTTGTTCTGTCCTTCAGTTCTATTGGATTGAAACCTGACTTCAATGGCTTTTTAGGGCACTTGGAATCAAACCCAGAAACAAATCCCACCTGATGTCATTTAATGGACAAGTCCATCTCACTGAAAATGAGGGGACAATTTCCTGACTGAGAGCCATTGTCATCCACTGCCTAAGCTCTCATACTACTCAGAACAGTAGAAGAGAGGAATTTTCCTTAATGACTAGCGCTCATGACACTTATGTGTCATTCATTTTTTACTTCTAAGTTAAAAAACACAAGTAGATATACTTTGATACAGACCAAAGAAGGTCAGTATCAAAATGACTGTCTTTGAGTTTTAAAAACAGGACAGAGTTTTAAAACCAGGCTCATATCTGTAATTTTAAAGTACTCAGGAGGCTAAGATATGAGGATCTGGTTCAAAGACAACGTGGGAAGGAAAATCTATTAACTCTAATTAACTGCCAAAAAACAAATTCCAGAGTGAAGCTGTGGCTCAGGTGGTAGAATGCCAGTCTTGTGGGAAAAAGTTAAGGGACATTGCCCAGGCCCTGAGTTCTAGCCACAGTGCTAGTACCAAATACAAATAAAATAATAAAAAGAGGGAATTTGTAAATTAGGAAACTGAGCAAAGGAATGTATTTTCATGTGTAGCACCAAACCACAGAGGTGGCAAAGTATGGATTTATAGTTTGATAAGGAAGAAAAAGATATGAAATAGGTCTTCAAATGTAAGAACAATTTCTAGAACTAATGAAAGTCTGGAATGCCAAATAAAAGTTTGAAATCCTTGGAATCCAGATTGAAAAAGACAGTTCAATGGTGAATGGATAACTTTACAAAACTACACTTAAACCCATGATGCTGCAAATACAATCCATAAATACATATTATATACTACTGTAATACACTGCAATACCATGAAGATTTCAGGCTCAGCTAGAATGAACTAGAATGAGAAGCAGCATTGTCAATTCAACTTCTCCATCAGCATTAGTTGTATTCCCACATTGACAAGACAGGATCATGTAGATTTCTGTGTCCAGTTAAGCTATTGCTTTGAGTGTGCAGTAACCTTAGACATAGGACACACGGAGTCTACGGTGCTCAAAATACTGTTAGAACCAAGAGAGGAGGTAAAAGACAAGAAGCAGTGGGAATTCAGAGGTAAACCAAGCTCAGTTCTTTTTGCTGGAGAGAGCTGGGATTAAAGCAGCCTCTACCACCTCTGTTCTTCTAGCAGAAATCATTGTTACTCTTTTCCTCCCTTGGGACCAGCACAGAGAGAAACCCAACTCTCATCCAGCCTGCCCTTGAGGCTTGCTTACACCACGGCTGACTGAAGAATAATGTTTTCTGTGTTTCATGCTTACAGAATACATGGTGGAAGCTCGCCCAGAAGTGGTGATGTCCTTATTCACAAGTACGGGAATGGGGGTCTCAGGAAGAGACTTGACTTCTAGTACATCCAGGCACCCCGGGGTTGGTGATGCCTGCTTGAATTAAATCACCAAGGACACAGGACACAGAGCCCTGGCACTTTTGGCTGTGCTGTTGGTAGTGGGAAAACAGGAACCTGCACAGCTGCCAGCTTCCTGGTTGGCTAGCAATCTCAAAGAAGGTTGAGAAACTCTGTTTTAAGACTTAAGTATATATTTTGCTGTGTGACCACTTGTGTATTTAGAGTTCTTAGAAGTGAACATCAACTTCCCATAACTTCTATAGCTTTGTCTATCTATTAAATATGAATTGTATCTTTATGGTACTCATGAAACTTTCCTATAGTTCTCGATATTCATGTTTCATAAATGAGGTAAAAGAAGCCAGTGTTTTTTACTAGTCTTACTTAGAATTTGTACCGTTGACTGTCCAACACCTGTGCCTGGCGGTGTTGCCCTCCGCCTAAGCCACTGGAGATGTGTTGCATTGTGGAACTTTTCAAAAATCATTTGTTAGGGAAAAATGAACATGTCTTTTCATTATTATCATAGTAGAAAATAAATAGAAGAGGTTTTCATAAATAGTACTTGGAAGCAACAGGCTTTTTATTTCTCCTAAATTCTTTTTTTTGTCTTTTTAACAAGCATCCCCAAATAATAAATGGTAGCGTTTAGCTTCCTACTTATTATTTAAACTCTTTAACACTTACTAATCTTGCCTTACTCTGCCTCTTTTCTGCAGCGATTCCTTTCTTGCACACCGAGAAAGTATGCGGAACATGATGAGAAATTTCTCTGAACCTTTTGGAAGGGACTTGTTCAGTATCTCTGATGGTAGAAGAGCCCATCACCGCAGAGGACATGATGCTACTGAAGATTACATAGCCGTAAGTTCTTCATTTGAAAAGACAGTGAGAAGATCCGAGGGATCTAGAAACAAGTATTACAGAAGAATGACTGGCACTCACATTGCAGAAATGACTCCTGCATAAAACAAAACCTATTGGGAAGCCAAATCCTGCAACAGGGAAATGTTGGTGGAAAAGAATTCCACTAGCTACCATAGTTTCACGCGTGTTTTTAATCTTGTAATCTTTTTCCATGTCTGCAATGAGAGCAAACAAGAAAACATCCTTTCCGGTCCCATATACTTTTGAGTGTATTTGTGCGCACATGGGGCTTGAACTCAAGGCCTGAGCATTATCCCTGAGAGTTTTTTGCTCAAGGCTGATGCCCATACACTTGAAAAAAATATTTTACAATAGTAGTGACATCAGTAGCATAATGGTTTGTCTCCGTTGGAGCTGCAAGTGTTCATCTTCTGAAAGATACTTTTGGCCTGGAGAGCTTAAAGTAAGCATAACCTTTTCAGAGCCTGGACCGCCACAGTATGCTCCCCTCTGTTACCCTTAGTGCCACACATGGGCATCGCAAATGCTCAGAGGGAACAAAATAGGGATATTTCTATGCCAGAACTTTTTTTGCCTTTATTTATTTTTCTTTTTTGGCCTCAGGAATGGTAGTTGTAGAACAAAAAATCTACCAGAGTTGCTATTGAAAATGAACATTTGAAGTTGAAATATAGATTAATACAGAATTGGTTGATTAAAAAACAAAAATATGTCATAATACATTTTCATATTTTCAGCTTCTAGTAGCTTAAATAGAGCAAAATATTTTAGGACATCCTAAGAAGTTTAATGAATAAAATTATATTTGTCAACTAAAGCAAGATTAAATCCTTATGTTATTCTTTTCATATACATTATTCCCAAAAGCAAGATTAAATCCTTATGTTATTCTTTTCATATACATTATTCCCAAATAGCATAATCCCACTGAAGTTAGTTTTCTTTCAATAGAGAATGTTATTATTCCATATATATGTGCATGTGTATATGTACATATACATATATATATGCAATCAGTTAATATCGAGGAAGCTTTTAAAATTCATTTCAGAGGAAAGACTGTCAATAGAGCAGAAAAAAACAATTATGAAAGAAATCACGTGAGCTTTAAAATACTTCATATGTCTGTCACCACCATGGCAGGAGGAGAATAGGACGCTGTATTTATATGCATTAATGAACTTTTAGCTTTTATGGAAGAAGCAAGAGCAATTTTACTCCTTTACTTTAAAATACTGAAATGAAGCTTGTTCATTATTCAGCAAATACCTTCTTGCCGAAGGTATTTGTCCACAGCAGCTATATCTCCAAAGGTTTCTTTCCTGGACACTGCACTGAGTGTTTAATGAGATCTGAAATAAGAAATATATGACCAAATAGAGAAATTTCTGTGAAACTTTAGTTTGTAAGATTCATAATTTAGAACTATGTGCACTTTAGTGTGACTTGCCAGAGTGACTTGCAATCAAGGAGGAAACATGGAGTAGAGGTAATATCAATGTAAAAACGTAGCAGTTGGACAGGAACAGCTAAGTAAAGGAAGATCAAGAATGAAAATCTAGTTGTTCCCTTGTCCTTATAGGTGGGCTGCTATTACAAAGTACAATTCTGCAGGTTGCGAAAACACCAAAGTCAGAATTTATTTTTATTTATTTATTTATTTTGTCGGTCGTGGGGCTTGAACTCTGGGCTTGGGCGCTGTCCCTGCACTCTTCAGCTCAAGGTGAGCACTCTACCACTTGAGCCACAGCGCCACTTCCAGTTTTCTAGTGGTTAATTGAAGATCAGAGTCTCACGGACTTTTCTGCCTAGACTGGCTTTGAACCGTGATCCTCAGATCTCAGCTTCCTGCGTAGCTAGGATTACAGGTGTAAGCCATTGGTGCCCAGCCCAAAGTCAGAATTTTTTTAAGCCAGTTCCTAGGGCTTGAACTCAGGGCCTGGGCATTGTCCCTTAGGTTTTTCACTCAAGGCTGGTAGTCTATCATTTGAACCACACTCTACTTCTGGCCTTTTGGTGGTCAGTTGGAGATAAGAGTTTCCTAGACTTTACTGCTCAGATCTCATCAGCCTTCTGAGTACCTAGGATTGCACACATAGGCCACCAGCATCCGATTTTCTCTTTGGCCTCCTCTGTAAGCCAGTTACTCCCAGGACCTGCCCTGTCTCCTAAGGGCATTACCTTTTAATGCAACTGCATTAGATTCCAATGGATGAAAACAGAAATGCTCTAAATGTGCTCTGTCAAATATGGTAGCCAGTCGTGAGCTGTACCAGTAGAACCCTTCAGTGAGCCTCGTGTTCAACAAAAGCAAAATTGGACAAATGGGATGGTATCAAACTCAAATGCTCTGTAAAGCAAAGGAAACCATTAACCAAAGTAAGAGACTACCACATCATGGAAGGAAATATTTGCAAACTACACATTTCATTAGGATTTCATATCCAAAATACATAAGGCACTCAGGCCACTCCATAGCAAGAAAGAAAATAACCCCACTAAAAAAGGGGAAAAGATGTTTTTCTGAAAGAATACACATAAATGGACAGTAGTTTCATGCAAAATATTCTAACTGTGGGGGAAATATAAATTAAACCATAAAGAGCCATACCTTATATGTGTGAGAGGGTAACTTTCATAAAGATGACAGCTACACTGTGCTAGACAGGCTGCAGAGAAAAAGGAGCTCCTAGGAATGGAAATGAATGCAGCTCTCAGGGAAAGCGATGGTGGTGTGTCCTCCAAAACTAAAAATAGAGGCTAAGGCTAGCTGGGCAGTGTAGCATTTGAGTGGCATGCGCAAAGTCGCATACACACACATTCAAACACAAATACTAAAAATAGAACTTCCTTATTACCTAGCAAGCCCACCATCTATGGAGAGAAACCTGCAGTCAGTAAGTGCACAGTGCATCTGTGTTTCCACCACTGCTACAGCGGAACTCACAGTCGCTGAGGACGCAAGTCGATGAGGAAGCAAGTGTCCATGCATGAAGAAAAAGTGATTTTTATACATGCATGGAATCTTCTTCAGTCCTAGAAAACAAGGGAAAGCCTGTAATTTTTGGCAGCAAGGATGAAGCATTGATGCTAAATGAAATAAACCAGGCACAAAGAGACAAAGCCACATGCTAGATCCAGTATGCTAGATCCAGTAAAGCTAAACTCAGATATAAAGTGTGGACAGCAGCTACTTGAGGCTGGATTGAGAAGAGGAGTGGGGATTAGTGACCCAAAGACTAACCTCTCAGATGATATATTGCCCAGAGATATTGACTATACTGAATATTTCAAAGTAACTGAAGGAGTTGCTAATGTTTCATAAAAAATGGTGATTGGATCCCACCTCATTTTATCCATTCATCAGAACTCACCTTGTCACCTGTCAGTGTCTACACTAATGGAAGCAAAGTGCCTATTATTACTAAATGAGGTTTTATTTCCTTTCGAGAAAAATGAATTTTAAATAGCCATCTGTGGTTAGGGACTATCGTGGGCAACAGGATAGACATTCAGATAAACCCCAAAACATCTCAATTCCCCTTAGCCAACAGTGTAAGGAGAATTGATTGCCATTCATGAGCCTCTGACTTGCTGCTCACATAGTAATCACTGATTTGAACACTTCCCCACAAAACTGCAGGTTTCATAATTATGGGAAATAAAAGTAAGTGGTACTTTTTACTGTACCAGATTTAGAACAGCCTGTTTTATACCACCTTGAATAGTCTCGCAGTGTTTTACTAGTAAGGCAGCTGAGTAGTAATGCAGCTGAGATGCAGTTCTTTTCTCCCCTGGTTGTGAGGCACTGGACAAGTTAATGTCTGGATTTATGTCATGTCAAAAATGAAAATGAAAACAAGCAGCTGCAGCACCACCTCTATCCAGCCTATCTGTCCTCAGTAACTAGATGGACTGCAGGAATACAGACACCAAAAATGGAAAAGGCATTTCTTCCCTTCAATGGAGATGTTTGTAAGCCAGGTATCCATCTTGTAAGGACTAGTTTGGCATGCAGCTAATGTAATGTGTGCATTTCTTTGATAGGTCCCTTGTAACTGAAGACATGACACTTAGGCCTGGTGGGACCTGCCCATCAGATCTCTTCTTTCACAAAACAAAAAACCAGATAGATATAGGAATAGAAAATAGAAATAGGAATTCTATTGGTATACTCAATAGGCTTTGGAGAGTACGGTCATAAATACAAAGTATAAATATGTATCACCTGATATAATTAATTACACAACTTAAATTGAGGGTTTCTATCATAACTTACACAGGAAAAAAATAATCACTGAATGATAAAACTTTATACTTTAATATTGTGAATGGCAAAGCCTTGGTTGTGGTGGGTTTTGTTTGCTTTGTCTCTCTCTGTCACCTGGGCTGCTCTGGAACCCACACGGCCTCCTGTCTCAGCATCCTGAGTGTGCGATTTCAGGCCTGGGCCACCATGTCCAGTTTCTCTATACATTTTACTCAGAAATTTGAATTTTGCTTTCAACATTTAAAACTTCCATTTTTATGCATCTATTTTTTTTATTTTGTGGTTGTTGAAGAATACAATTTTTGTGAACTATAACTTCATTAAATATTGTTTTGCATATCACAGGCTCTAAATTCTAAGCTGTGAACCTTGACCCTTACTGGCTTCTTATTAATTACTTATCCCAAGGAGCTGGCCCTTAGGGGATAATTAATTTTTGTTTGTCAGTCCTGGGGCCTGAACTTCTTTTTACTTAAGGCTAGCACTCTACCATGTGAGCCACAGCGCCACTTCTGGCTTTTTCTGTTTGTGTGGTATTAAGGAATCAAATCCAGGGTTTCGTGCATGCTAGGCAAGTACTCTACTGCTAAGCCACATTCCCAGCTGAGATAATTAATTTTTATCCATTATCACTGCTAATATTTGGACTTTTATTAGTAAGTGAACTTTTAAAAAATTTATTAGTTGTAATATTAATGGATTTAAAAGGTAAAATTAATGGATTTAAAATATATAGAATAATTAAACAAAGGAAAGACGATTTAACCTTAAGATCATCATCTTACCTCACCTTCTAATTAATTCTAATATGAATTTGCATTTCCTCTGAGAAATGCAAATCTTAACCCACAGCCTGTACTTTTTCTGTCACCGCCTTACTAGCAAAGTGCTGTTCTCAATGACATAAGGCCTCCCTGTGTGTGGCCAGGCTCCTGTCAGGCCTTACAGTAAATAATAAGCAGGTAATTAAGAATCCATAGTGTCTCTTGATGAAAATGTTCTGTAACATTGGGAGCTCTGAGCTGTGTGGTTGTGCAGTACATTTTTGTTTTACCTGTTATTATATAACAAATGCAACCAAAATTAATTGGATATTATTTTTCTAGGCAACAACTTTTTCTCTTGTGCCTTTTGGCAGTTTTGGCAGAATGGTTTGTATCTTGAGACACAAATCATTTTATTTTTCACTAACTCAAGCATTAATATGCATGTCACTAACTTTCATATTGACTTTGTAGTAGTAATGCTGGAAGCCTCTGCTTCATGTGTTAAATTTATCTTAGAGCCCCAAATAAATCACTCTTCAGAAATAAAACCTAAATTTTGATAGGTTCACACAGAAGTGTTCCCACAGTTGTGTGCACAAGTCCAGGACCCTTGTGCAAATAGGGCCTTTGCACAGGTGAGCCAGCCCGGCCCTGGGCAGGGGCATGCTGCCTGTGTCTCCCTGTCCCCTTTGGCAGTGTGCCCAGGCTGCCTCTGACATACATGCTGCTCTCCTGACCAGAGAGCAGTTTGTCCCCCGTCCAGAGCTCCTGGCGGGACAAGTGACATTTAACACTCAGAACATTCTTGTGGTGGGGGCATAGCCGTGGTAGGGGCAGGCAGGGTCTTTTGAGTACAGTGGGTTGGAGTTGATTAGGGAAGCCTTTATGAACCTTGGCTTAGTGAGAGTCAGAGAAAGCCTGGGGAAGAAAGGGAGAGTGCAGCACAGCACAGCACTGGGGGCCCTGGGCCCTGAGGACGAACACCTTTAGCTCCACTGTGTGCTATGGTGGAAGTATGCAATCCATATAGACAAGGGGGGAGAGGAAGCTGGACCCTTGCAGGCCACAAGGAGCGAGCAGGACATGTACTTGATTGCCTTTCATCAAAGCTAATAGAATCAGATTCTCTTACTTTCTCTCTCTCCCTCTCTCTCTTATACTAAGGTTGGACCCTCTCACCCACTTGTTTGCTCCACTGGTACTCTACCACTTGAGCCATACCTCCAGCTCTGCTCTTTGCTCATTATTTTGAAGATAGTGTCTTACAGACTTTTCTGCCTAGACTGGCTGTAGTGACTTTCTCGCTCTCATTCTCCATGTAGGCAGGGTTACCGGCTTCTTGCTCCCCACTAGATTGTCATTTTAAGAGGTCAGTGTGCCTCATTCAGAAGGAACCACAATACACAGGGGAGGAAAGACCAGGAGGCCATGGAAGCATTCTGTATGCTTGTGATGGCTTTACTTCATAATGGCCAAGGTGATCAGGGAAAATGATATTGTTTGAGAGACAGGTGAAGATATGTAGGTGCTGCCACTTGGTGTTTGCTTGAAGGGGGTTGGGGATGGGGCTCTGGGATAGCTGGGAATCTCAGTAACCACAGGACCAGAGCAGGTTGATCCGGTGCAGATAGGAGAGAGGGTGGTGAGAGAATCAGATCTCTTTCCTTGTGTGATCTCTGAAGCATAGACATGCACGTGGATGGTAGACAGATTATCAGAGCCAGAGATGACTTCTTAGCCCTCTTTTATCCTGCTGGGGATCAAACCCAGGACTTTGTAACTGCTAGATGGGTGGTCTGCTAGTGAGCCACGCTCCCACCCAGAGCTAGCAATAATGTGTTGATTCATTTCAGAAATTATTTATTGAGGCCCCCCCTTTATGTGTCAGGAATTATTTTAACGACTGGAGACATCATTGTAAATAAGATAAGATACTCCCACCTTGCAGATACTTTGTTTTAGTGGGAAGACACAATCAACAGAACCGTTTGAGCAGTGATCCTGAGGAGAGAGAGCGCAGCTGTTCAAGGGGGGGTGGAGGCAAGCTGGTGTCTCCGGGGGCCTTGCTGGGGGGACACTCTGACAGTGAGAAGGAGCCGACTGCAGAAAGTTGGAAGAACATGTTTCAGCATGCGTACTGCATTCCCAGGGGCTCTGGAGTGTGCCCCACTTTCTGTCACCTCAGGCTGTTGGCACCCACAGCTAGTACAGATGTATCTTTTTTTGGGGGCCTGAACTTTGGGCCTGGGCGCTATCCCTCAGCTCTTCAGCTCAAGGCTAGCGCTCTACCTCTTGAGCCACAGTGCCACTACCGGCTTTTTTCTTTTTGCTTATGTGGTGCTGAGGAATCGAACCCAGGGCCTCATGCATACAAGGCAAGCGCTCTACCACTGAGCCACCTTCCCAGCCCCAGATGTATCTTTTGATGACTTGTTTGACCAGGAAATGAGAAAAGGGTGGACTCGCTTCCGCCATGCCCCTTGCTTCCATCTCTCAGGAATTATATGGGCCCTGATTCTCAACCTAGTGTTAAAATAGTTGGAATATTTCTGGATTGGTGTCACATTTCTTTAAGTGCAGATTATTTCTTTTCCAGTCCTTTCTTTGAGCTATGGTGGTTGCTGTACTGGCAAATGTACTTATTTGCATGCTGGAATGTTGAGGGGAAGGAGGGAGAAGGGAGAACAGTAACATACCAGAACCATTTCCACCCAGAGCATGCCACTCAGCATTAACATCAACTGAATTCTGCTTTGAGAACTCTGGCATCTGTATGCACGTGCACATATGCATATGTTCATAGGCAAATACACATGTATGTATGTATTCACATGTACATATTTGCAGCGGTTCAGTCCCCTAATCATTTATGTTGGGTGTTTGGGATTTTCCTATATGTGTCATTTTTTAAATGTATTATTATATATAATTCTGAAATTATTTTAGCCTGATTACTGCATGAAACCCTACTAAATGAATCGGGAAAACTTTCAGCTGTTTTGGGAAGATTGATTTGCTGCTTTTGTGTTGTGCTTATAGTTAATAATGTACCTCCTAATATCCTGTAGCATACAGATGTCAGCCCTTTTCAGGCAATGGACCGAATGATGTTAAATATGCGCGACAGTATGCAGGAGTTACAGAGAAACTTTGTAAGTACTGCAATTAAGCATGGGGACACTGTTTTCAGTTATCAGTACCCTGTTTTACTGTGGCTTTCAAGCATCTTTTAGCCATAGTCTAAAAATTTTATACAATTAACTCATATAGTACTTATATACTTTATAAATCTCCTGGAAACAAAGTTTTATCAAAAAATTATACTATTTTCAGTGTGTGCCAATAGTATCTATTTTACTTTTTAAAAAGTCATCTCCCACTAAATTTAGTTCACAATTAACAACTGTGAAAAATAAGTCATTTTTTACAATACTTGGGATCGAACTCTGTCTCATTCACCACTTAAGCTATGCTCCCAGCCTCTTTTGCATTAGTTATTTTTCAGGTAGGGTCTCAAGTTTTTGCCCTGATCATTATTTATATGGCTTCCTGTGTAGCTGGGTCTCAGGTGTGCACCAGCATGCCTGACTTATTGATTGAGTTTGGATCTTGCTAGCTCTGTGCCTGGGCTGGTCTGGAACTGTGATCCAATCTCTGCCTCCCAGGCAGCTGGGTTACAAGGTGCATCTCCCAGACTGGTTAACTTTTACTTTTTAAAGATTCAAATAAATAATTCCACTAAGTCATTATTGTGAGGAAACATTTTATATTAATTTGTATATCTTATGTCTCCTTAAAAGGATTTGTAGTACCTAAGAAATTAAGGTTTAGTGTTAAAACAACTTCTGAAAACAGACATGTTGGGAATCACATTTAACACTAGATTATAGAGCTATAGTCCAAATGCAGGTGCTAATCCTCCCAGTTCTCATAAACATGAAAACAAGTTGACTCCAAGACAATTTGTCATTCCAGTTATACACTTTGGATCTTATGGGTCATTAGTGAGTGCACAGGTCTCTAGGGAATTATATTAGCACAGATTTTATTCCTGTGCACCACTTCCTGGTATACAGCTAATTGTCTCCAGACAGGCCAGATTGCGCACACAGGACAACCACTGGTAATTTTGCTACTTTATTATTATCAGAGGTTTCAAGGGTAAAACACCTTCATTCAAATCTAAGCTCCAAGGTCTCAAAGATTAAGGATCTCTGACTGAATCCCTTGTTACTCTTACAAGGAGAGCAGATGCTGGTCCCAGAACTTGAAGGCGTTGAGGACCCTCTGGGCATCCATTTGATGAGCCATGTTGTTGGTATGGGTAGACCTGATTGTTAGTGTTGTGTTGCTCCTGACTTGAACTCTGTGCCATTGAGGAGATTCTGAGTCTTACCCTTTCACCTCCAGGGGAACCTGTCAGTGGATCCACATGGACATTCATTTTGTTCTTCGTCAGTTATGACTTACTCCAAAGTAGGCGATGAACCACCAAAGGTATTCCAGGCCTCTACTCAAACCCGGAGGGCTCCAGGAGGAGTAAGTGTTTGAGAACATTCTTAGAGCTTCATAAAGTTGTAGGGTGGTAGATTGCCTGCGTATATGAGTGCTGAAGTTCTAAATTTTGATCTGGTAAAAGGAGGGGGCACTGATGTTAGAGGTCATCACTGTGAAACCATTAGAGGTCAGTTGGGTTTAGTTTATGGTAGTTTGGGTTTCCCCTGAGAGGGTGATTTCTTTAATTTATTTTGGTGTTTGTCACCTTTCCATTTTGGCAAGATGAATGGACACTAAATGAAGTGCTTGTTTTATGAACTAAATGTCAACTTGTAGTGTACATTGAAAACAGATTTTTAATTTTTTTGGGGGGGTCCGGTCATGGGGTCTGAACTCTGGGCCTGGGCGCTATCCCTCAGCTCTTCAGCTCAAGGCTAGCACTCTACCACTTGAGCCACAGTGCCACTTCTGGCTTTTTTCTTTTTGTTTATGTGGTGCTGAGGAATCGAACCCAGGGCCTCATGCATGCAAGGCATGTGCTCTACCACTGAGCCACCTTCCCAGTCCCGAGATTTTTAATTTTTTTTGCTTTTGCATGCCTTTATTCTCAGAGTGGCCTGTGTGAGTAGTAAACACTCACATTGCCAACTGTTATAGGAATCACATTCCTTCTTACATGTACCAAAATCCCATATCCGTGATGAGTCTGGGTGGCAAAAGAGGATTTACTGTTTGCACCTGTCTGTATAAATTTTAAATTTTTAAATTAATTTTTAAGTTAAAAATTAAATTTTAATTAATTTTAACTATCAGTAAACTAACAGATTGGCTATATAACTCCTGCCATTCTCAAGCATATTGTTACAATTGTATTCTTTATGTGTACATTATGAAATCTAGTGAATTGCTTTTGTAGGTTTCTAAACTTTTTATAAGTGATATCATTATTGCATTTCTTCAAGCTTTCCTTTGCTCACTAATACATTTGTAATATTTAATTAGATTGATACACAATCCTGGTTCCTTTTCACTTCTATATAGTACCTAAAATAAAAAAAAAAAGGCTCAAAATCTTGGCCATTTTCAGTGACAGATATTTTAGTGCATATAAAGTGCACGAATCCATCTTCACATTTTCTTGTGCAAGGCTAGGAATGTAATTCTAGGTCGTCAAGTGTGTATGCCTTCATCTTAATCTGAGTTACCATTCCTTAGAGATAAAGCTGTGGGCATCTACAAACTATCCTATGTAAATTCCCGTTTTTCCATGGCCTTCTTAGTACTTAAATTTTAGTTTGCCAAAATAGCGAATGTGAAATATTTCATTTTTTCAGTCCCTTACTAAAAAGCATGCACTTTTAAATGATAAACCTCATGGTACTTGATCAAATTCATTATGGATATTTAACTTGGTAAAAGTGACTCTATGTTTGTGTGTGTGTGTGTGTGTGTGTGTGTGCACGTGTGCGCTTGTGCTTGTGCTGGTCCTGGGGCTTGAACTCAAGGTCTAGGCTGTGTATGTGTGTGTGTGTGTGTGTGCGTGCTTGTGCTGGTCCTGGGGCTTGAACTCAAGGTCTAGGCTGTATGTGTGTGTGTGTGTGTGTGCTTGTGCTGGTCCTGGGGCTTGAACTCAAGGTCTAGGCTGTGTGTGTGTGTGTGTGTGTGCACGCTTGTGCTGGTCCTAGGGCTTGAACTCAAGGTCCTAGGGCTTGAACTCAAGGTCTAGGCTGTGTGTGTGTGTGTGTGTGCGTGTGCACTTGTGCTGGTCCTGGGGCTTGAACTCAAGGTCTAGGCTGTGTGTGTGTGTGTGTGTGTGTGTGTGCTTGTGCTGGTCCTGGGGCTTGAACTCAGGGTCTAGGCTCTGTCCCTGAGCTTTTTTGCTCAAGGCTAGTTAGTGTTTTATCACTTGAGTCACAGATCCACTTGTGGCTTTTTGGTAGTTAATTGAAGATGAGAGTCTCACAGACTTTTCTGCCTGGGTCAGCTTTGAACCATGGTCCTCAGATCTCAGCTTCCTGAGTAGCTAGGACTACAGGCATGAGCCACCAGCACCCAGAAAAGTGACAGTCTTAAATAGTTACAGATGTCTCACAGTGATGTTAATAACCATTGGCTCTCCTAACTATGCTGATAGCATGTGCTTCCAGCTGAGAGGGAGGAACCAGTTGCCCTGCTTTGAGAGGATGCCATGTGGATTTCCATCTGCCACATTGTCTTTAACAAGAGTTATTCTCTGTTTCAATATTTGATTACAAGTTGGAAAAATGTTAAATGGTGTTGTCTTTGTTTGGCCTCTCCATTTTCACTTACCAGTTCAGGAAAGATCCAAAGACGTAGCACCAGTTTTACTCCACATTGATAGTGGAACTGAATATAGTTACTCTTGTTTTTTTTAGTGTATGAATTGTCCAAAATAATGGATATTTTGTGAAGTAGATCTATTGCATTACCTCAGTAAGTCATCAGTCCCTAAAAGAAAAATTTAGAAAGAAATCCAGTCTGTGTATTTAAGTAGTGATTATATTTTTATTATCTTTAAATAGCTGTACAAAGAGGTTAACACAGAACATGTCAGTTTATAAGTACAGTGCATCTTGAATAATGTCATCCTTCTCTCATAACCTCTCCCTCAATTTTCCTAGTTTGATAGGATATGCATTGAATAATAGGATTGCATTCTCTCTGCTCTTTCTTCATAAGATAAAAGAAACCAGGAAAACGATCAGAGACTCTGACAGCGGACTGGAAAAAATGGCAGTTGGCCATCACATCCATGACCGGGCACACGTCATCCAAAAGTCAAAGAACAACAGGACTGGAGATGAGGAGGTCAACCAGGAGTTCATCAACATGAACGAACGTAGGTTATCACAAAACCAATACTCTTCCTCCAACGTTAAGTCATCATCATATAACACCTGATTTTCACAGCCATAGCTGGCAGCATGAAGAATCATTTGTTTATTGTTTATGAAATGTAATCTTTTGAATTGTTATTTAGTAATATATTAATAACAAAGCTAGTTTTAAAATATTTTTCTATGGTAGTACTAGGGCTTTAACTCAGGGCCTGTGACACTGTCCCTTAGCTTTTTTTTTTGCTCAATGCTAGCACTCTACCACTTGAGCCACAGCTCCACTTCCTGCTTTTTAGTGGTTAATTTGATATAAGGTTTTTATAGACTTTCTTGCCTGGGTCAGCTTCAAACCATGATCCTTAGATCTCAGCCTCTTGAGAGGTTGGATTATAGGTATGAGCCACCAGCACTCAGGTAAGCTTTTAATGTTTTTGTAGGGGGACTGATATTTGATCTTAGGCCTCCACACTTGCTAGGCAGGTGCTCTACTGCTTGAGCCATGGCCCTTCCTTCTTTTCCTCTAATTATTTTGTGATAGGATCTCACATTTTGCCCAGGCCATCCTGGACCATGATTGTTCTGTCTGCACTTTCCTTCATAGCTGGAGTAACAGACATGACATCACCACACAAAGTTTTTCTCTTGAGATGGAATCTCAACTTTTTGCCCAGGCTGGCCTGGAACCATGGTTCTCACAGTCTCTGCCTCCCAAGTAGCTAAATTAGGCCTCTTTCCTGTATGCTACCTGTTACATCATGCATATATATAGCAGAACTCTTTTAGATATTCATCAAAAAATATAAAATGTTCCTTCTCATTACAGTTTTTAATTCTACTAAAAGACAATTTTAAGTAAAAAATTAATTTTATTTTAATCAGTATTAAGAATCAAGCTTTCATATTTTTTTATTTAAAATAACATTGAAATATTAGAAAGTATTCTGAAGCTGGGAACTATGGCTCATACTGGCAATACTAGCTACTTGGGAGGAAGAAATGAGGATTCTGTTTTGAGTCCAGCTTGGCTTAAAAGTTAGTGAAACCAGCCAGATGCCAGTGTCTTATGCCTACAATCCTAGCTACTCAGGAGGTTGATCTGAGGATTGTAGTTCAAAGCCAACCCAGGCAGGAAAGTCCATGAGACTCTTAACTCCAATAATCTACTCAGAAAAAGCTGGAAGTGGCTTAAGTGGTAGAATGCTAGCCTTGAGCACAGAGAGGCTCAGGAACAAGCCCTAGGACTGGAAAAGAAAAAAAAGTTCATGAAACCCCATCTCAGTGAATACACGGGATCTGGATGTGGTGGTGTATGCCTGTCATCCCAGCTACACAGGAAGATCGTGGTCTAGGGCCATTCAAATAGAAGACCACATTCAAACAACAACTAAAGCTCCACCTATAATTTAGCTTACTCAGAAGGCTGAGATCTTGAAAACTGAGGTTTTGAAGCTGGTCCCAGCAAAAAATCCACAAGACTCTCTCTCCAGTTAACCAGCAAAATGCTGAACTGGTGGCATGGCTCAAGGGTATGGCCACCTGCAGGTGAAAAAAGTATAAAACCTAAGTTCAGGCCCTGGTCCCAGCACACACACACAATCACTTAAGGCAAACAGGAATGGGGGCATGACTCAAGTACTAGAGGCCCTCCTGCTGAGCAAGCCCCACGATCTGAGTCCAAACCCAGTACCACCAATAATAATAATGCTATATCACAGTTATGAGTTTATAAATTATTGCTTCATTTTAGAAAAGGAAAGGGCTTCTATTGAGTTTGATAAAAAATTCTTTTGCAATAAGATTGAAGCTACATTATAACAACTTTAATTACAATCACTGCAATATTATCATTGGAAGATACATTGAGTATCCCTCAGGAGTGCCCTAAAAGAACAATCTAAAAGACAATCTAAAAGAACAAGAATGATCACTTATGTGTTGTTGCTTCTATAAAAATTAGATTACCTACTTCATGACCCCTTACTATGACAGTCAAGTCCAACAACCTATCTGCAGACCAGAGGGCTCTACTTACAAGGAACTGGTGAGGTAATAGGAATGCTCGCTAGAAGAAAGACCATAAGTGATTCATAAGGACGTTGGGTCTTTATGGTCCACTGAGTAGACTGTGATGTCCAGGCAGGCAAGTGAAAAGTGAGGTCACAGAGACATTGACAGGCATGTGAGACCAGCAGCCATGACCTGAGATTTGACCCTCCCTGAGCAAAGATTTCTCCATGGGGAGGGCTCTCCCTGCTCTGGCTGAGGCTGGCATGAAGCCTGTGTAGTGAACAGTAATGGACAATGGATACCCAATATTTATTCCTTAATTTTCTTATCTGATATAGATGATGCTCATGCTTTTGATGACGAGTGGCAGAATGAGATTTTGAAGTTCAAGGCCGGGGGCCGCTCACGCAATCTAGAAAACCCTAGAATGCGAAGTGTCGGTCATGAGAATCCAGGATCACGGGAACTTAAACGAAGGTAAAGATGCTGGCTAAAAATGGTGTTTTTAAAAGGCCATTTAAAGACAAGTTGTTCTCTGACCTCTTCTCAGGAAGTCTGGAAGAACAGTCAAGTTGTATCCACAGTGTCTTCTGTGGTGAAGGCTCCAACACCACGTGGACCAGTGGGGCATCATGGGCTGTCTTTCCTTTCAGAATACCTCTCTGGGACCTTTATGCCAGAGTGCTTTCTATTAAGTCTTCAAACTCACTTCCATCTTGATGTTACATAATGTGTCTCACATTGAGAATTCTGTGATTAAAAAGTCTATGTTAAGGTTCAATAAGAAATCCATGCCCCAGTTAGAGAAAGCTGTCTGTTAGGCTTCGGTTGTGGTTTAGGCATCACTGAGCCTGTGCCTGCCCCTTCTTCTATTGGTTATTTTTGAGGTAGGGAGGGACTTGCCTTCTATCCAGGGTGGCCTGAGTTATAATCTGCCACGTGTGCTTCTCTGTCACTAATGGTGATAAGCACAGGCATTGCACCAGCCATCAGTTAAGACAGAGTTTCAGAACTTCACTGGGCTGGCCTTGAACCTCAGTCCCCAGTTTCTGACTCCCAGGAAGCTGGGATTCTAGGCTTGTGCCAGCACACCTGGTCACAGAAGCACACACTTAGTGGATGACTTTAGCACTGTCCCAGAGCGTCTTCTGAAATGCCTCCAGCAGTGCAGAACTTGTGAGCACACTCTGGGTCAGGACGGCAGCCACTAGCTCCATGTGGCTATTGAATAACACGTTGCATAGGACTGTAGATGGAGGAACTGAATGTTACTTCACTTACCTGATATAAATCTTACCACCACATTGAATAGCATTGTTCAAATTACAAACCAATTCATCTGAGGTAAATAGTCATTGCTTTCTTAACCAACCATCCAGTGGTCTGTCTTCTGTTTCCAAGGCTGCCCAGGAACTATCAAGTGAAAACAGTGCTTTTAATCTTATTTGCAGTGCAAATATATCTTCAAAACCTGTTGTTTACCTGTTTTCTTCCTTAGGGAAAAACCTCACCAAAATCACACCGAAGGTGGTAGAAGATCAAGGGCTTGTGTGGACAAACTGAATGTCAAAGGGTCGCCTGTGAGGATCAACAAAAAATAAATGGCCGTGCATTTCACCTGCCTGGTTTTTATCGTTTGAACAGAGAAAGTAGTGGTGCTGGGTTAACATGCGTGAGACCAATCTCCTGTGGGTGCTTTCCCCTCGTGTCTCTGCTCTCACAGCTTCCAATTTCATCCTGTTACTGCTGTAGGAATAAAACTTTGATTTTCACAAATGCGATTAAACTGGAAGATATTTTGTAAAGCCTGTTAGGGCATGCTAACAGATTGATTTGAACTAGTTCTGTTACAAGAATAAAGGCAGGTTATTTCCACTAACACTACACTAGAGTGATGTTAGTAAATGTTTAATTTCTCAAATTTTATTATATAAGCAACTAATATTAAGCTTTAAAAATAACCTAGCAAAACTATGCTAGCCCTGTTTCACAATAAATTATTTTGAAAGTGGTCAAGAACAGCCACATAGCTTGTATGGAAACATTATAGACTGCTAATGTGCTTGAATTTTCATGTTATAATTTCTATGTGCAGGATAGTCTTTACATTACACTCCTACCACTCAGCAGTATTTAGATTAACCTTTCTCTTTATTTTCCTAAGGTGGCATGTTTCCCTTCTCCTTTTTAACAAATAGATTAATTTCTCTTCAAGGTTAACATTCTGAAATTGGAGAGTCCTCAGAGAAACTTTTCACCTTCTTTTGACATTTAGAAAAATTCATTTGATCGTCGGAAACTGGAATGATAGATTGTCCCAAAATTTACTAGACAGGCAATGTGGGTGCTTGAGCAAGGTGTTTAATAATGTAATTGTTCCTTCTTGTCATTATACCCTTAAAATTCATCTTGGCCTTCTTATTCTAGAACTCAGGCATTAGTGTATTTTTATAAAAAGGTTGAAATTTACAAAAATATAAAAATCTTAACTCTTTGTTGCTTTAAATAATACTTCTGTCAAGGGAGAAAAGAACAGATGAGCCATTGTCCCTCAGTAATCCTAATACAACTTCTTTTAAGTTTAGAAGTAAAATGATACAGTGGTGTTCATACTAGTTTGAGGTTTTTGTTCATTTGTCGGTGGTTATAGGGTCTGAATTCAGGGCTGAGTTAGGCAGGTGCTCTACTGCTTGAGCCATGCATCCAACCCTCTTTGCTCTGGTTATTTTTGAGATAAGGTCTCACTTTTTGCCCAAGCTGGGCTTGAACCAGAATTCTTCCAGTTTCAGCCTCCTGCGTGGTTAAGACTGCAAGTGTGAGCCACAGTTCAACTTGTTTGTCATTAAAACAAGATTTAAGTCAGTTAATTTATTTTTATGATTAACTGATAGTATAATTAGTTAAAACTTTCTTCTAATAGATTAGCATATGAATGACACACTATAATGGTATTGGGAAATTTCCATACGAAAATTTTGATAACATAAATATTATTTGGCCAGACGACCTTTCTAGCCTCTTTATTCTCCTTTTGTCTAAATCATTACACCAACAATAAATTATATTCATTTAAATCTGAAACTATTCCATAATTGTACTCATCAGCATAATGCTTTTAAATCATATAGCAGCTACAGAATGCATACTTTTTCCTTACAAGTTGTTTGCCATGGAAATTAAATAATAATTGAAATAGACATCTGTTTCTTCTTGTGCCACAGTGACTTCTTAGGGAGCACTCAGAGCACATGTGATGTCTGGAGACTGCACAACAGGGCATACTCACACGATTCAACACCTGCCACACTCCAGAATGGAGACAGTAACTAATTATCCTCACTTGGAGGGTGTAAATATGGAGCTCATTTTTAAGAAAAATACAAAATTATGTTCTGTTGCCACAAATTTTGCTCCAATTTCCAGAATCAGTGTATATCTGCAAGCTAGAGTTTTCCAAGTTTGTCTTTCTTTTTAAACTAATCAACCAGACTTCTCCACATTGGCACATTAAGAACTACTCATGCCAGGTGCCGGTGGCTCACACCTGTAATCCTAGCTACTCAGGAGGCTGAGATCTGAGGATCACAGTTCAAAGCAAGCCCAGGCAGGAAAGTACGTGAGACTCTTATCTCAAATAAACCACCAGAAAACCAGAAGTGGCACTGTAGCTCAAGTGGTAGAGCGCTAGCCTTGAGCTGAAGAGCTGAGGGACAGCGCCCAGGCCCAGAGTTCAAGGCCCATGACCAACCAAAAAAAAAAAAGAACCACTCATTACCCAGATGCCCATACAAGAGATTTATCTACTCATATTGAGGCCTTCTAAGTAGATACAAATAGTCCAGTAGATTTTCACTAAACATATTTTTCAGGGGTTTTTTCCTTCTTGTTGTTTGGGTTTTTTGGTTCAGTTGTTTATGAATTTATTCTATCAGTAGTAGGACTTGAACTCATGGCCTCCTGCCACCCCACTTGAGGCTGTAATGAAGGGCTTAGCTGCTATGTTTTATTCTAGCTGTGCTTGTCTGAGATCAGACTTCCCATGGGCAGGCTGCAGCCAGTAACTGAGTCTTAGAACAATGGATATCTTACAGAGCCAGCTTTCACTCAAGATCTCCCGGGGAGCCTTGCCCAAACTGTGACAACCTAACTGCAGCTCTAGCCTCATCTCCCCAGAGAAAAGAGAGGCCAAAGCATCCAGCACAGGAGCCTGGACCTCTGTGACTGCCTGGCAGACCTCGCTGTGGGATGAGTCCCCTCGTCCTGCAAGTGAGGGCCCCGTGGCAGGCCGGTGCTCGCCCAGTGTGACTGCCAGCATGCCACAGGGCAGCCTTTACTCCCATCTCTCAGAGAGCAGCAGTGAGGCACCATCTTAGGAGAGGGCTTCCTGCCCAGGACTGAGCTACCATCCTCCTGTCCGATGGCCATCCAAGCAAAGCAAATAGTCTCCACCAACAGAGTTCTGATGACAGGAGCTGCTAGAGAGAACTGGCTGCTTCTGATGCCTACAAGTGACCTCCAGAGATGGAGTGATATTAGCTGCTCTAAGGTAGCTACTATGACCTACGACTGAAAAGGAAGCATTGTAACCCTGGGAGCTCTGCTCCACTGAAAGAGCTGGACTATGGGTGGTACACCCTGTGTCATGCTGGCAAACTAAGGAGTTAAAGCAGCACCAGGAGCTCAGGCCCCAGAGGGCCAGAGGACCCCCCCCCACACACACACACACTTAAGCAAGTTCCAGCGCTTAAGGGTCCATCGAGAAACAGACCAAACCTGTGGCTGGCAGAGCACTTGGCATCCAGGAGCTATCTGGATAAGTCCTGGAGTGGTCACTGCCAAGCAGAGCTCGGAGTGAGTGCAGGACACAAGGCGTACACAATGGCCTGCAGTCACAGCGAGCTGCTGCATGGGTCTGACAACTTAGTCCCCACGCCCTCAGTCTTTGTCACTGGTACAGTGTGCCATTTGTTGAGAAAATCCTAGGTGTGTGTGTGTGCACACATGTGTGTTGGTGGCAGGAGGTTGATATAAACAGCTACATAAAAACAGAATCTCAAATACCCTAATGATATGCCTCAAAATAGAAAAACAGGAACTAGCCAAAAATTAGCAGACAGAATAAAGATTGGTGCACAAATTAGTGAAATTGAAGAAAATACAACTACACAAAGAATGCAACAAAGAAATCAGTTCTTTGAAAAGATATTGGCAAATCCTTAGACACTGACTAAAAGGAGGAGAGAAAAGACCCAAACAAGCACGAATGGCTTTAAGTTCATCAGAGACTTTGAAAATCTATATTCAAATAAATAACCAAGAAGACATAAACTATGCAAATAGATCTACACCAAGCAATGAGATTGGAGCAATAGTAGTCTCTCAACAAAGAAAAATCCCAGGCCTGACATTCTTCCATTAAGAAAGAGTTAACACCAATACTCCTAAAACTTTTCCATGAACTAGTTAAATCCATGGGTTGGGAAGGTGGCTCAGTGGTAGAATGCTTCAATTCCTCACCACCACATAAGCAGGAAAAGTCGGAAGTGGTGCTGTGGCTCAAGTGGTAGAGCACTAGCCTTGAGCTGAAGAGCTGAGGGACAGCGCCCAGGCCCAGAGTTCAGGCCTCACGACTGACAAAAAAGAAAAAGAGCAAATATGATGGAAAGGGAGGATGCTGTTGGGAAATGGAATCAAGGTGACAAAAGGAAGGAAGGCAGAGCCCTCCGCAGAGCAGCAGGCTGTACTCATTGCTGCAGGGGCGGAGAGGATGGGTTTTACACATTCTAGAATTTCTTAGTCCTGTCCTGCTGAGGACCCTTTGCCTGGCCTGGCCTGTTTGGGGGTATTTCTAGAGTTTTCCTCCTGCAGCCTGCAGCCCTGCTCTTTCAGCTAAAGCCCATCTCAGGCCGGGTCAGGGGTGGCGTTATGAGAACAAAGCGGATTCCCATCAGCTCCCACCGAACACGGCTCAGAAGAGACACCCACAGAAGGAGAGAAAGCCGTGGCCAGCTACACACCTGACAGAGGATCATGAACCAGGACATCCGGGGCCTGCGGACCTGACCTCACAACGCACGGGCCATCCAGTTCACAGGCGGACAAGGGAGCTGGAGGAACGATTCCTGAGAGGGAAAAGGGCCAAGAGCTGCAGGGGCACACGCTCAACGTCCCTGGCCGTGAAGGGCGTGGGACGAGACGTCAACCCCAACGAGGGCGGCCATGGCTGGCGGGGGGCGGGGAAAAGGAGCCCCGCGCTGCGGGTGCAAACGCAAACCAGGGGGCGCGGGGGGGCTCGAGGAGGGTCCCACGCCAAACACAGCGCCCTCCGACCCAGCCCGGGGGCGCCTCGCACATCCACGGCCGGACGGCCGAGCTTTGCAGACCACCCCGACGCCCTAAAACCGGCGGATGAATCGCGAGGACGAGGCTCGAGACACGCGGAAACCAGGCCGAGCACAGGCCGGCCGCCAGCCAACAGGCGCGCTGGAAGCCAGGCGAGGCTGCCGCACTTCCTCCTCCTCTCCGGCAGGGGGCGTCCGCACGCCGGCGCCGCTCCGCGCTCGGGCCTCGAGGCCCCGCCCCCTCCCCGCCCGTACGTCCTCCGACCCGGAAGTGCTCCCGCGCGCTGCTCGCCGGCATGACTTTCGGGGTTTCCGGCTGCCGAGCCGGCGCGGCGTGAGCTCGAACCGCAGATCCCGGGTCTGGCCGCTCACCATGAGGTTGCTGGGAGCTGTCGCGGCGCTGGGGCGCGGGCCGCTCTCTCGGGGTCCCGCCGCCCTGGCCCGGCCGGGAACGCAGGTACGGGTGCCGGGAGGGGCCAAGAGAAGCCCCGGGCCGCCTGCGGCCGCTGACCGCACGAAGGTCAGGCCCGGGGCTGGGGGTCTCCGGGCCGGGACCCCGAGGACGGGGGTCTCCGGGCAGGGGGGGAGGGGTCCCCGGGCCGGGATCCCGGGGCTAGGGGTGTCTGGGCCGGGACCCCGGGTTAGGGGTGTCTGGGCCGGGACCCCGGGTTGAGGGTGTCCAGGGGGGTTCGGGGGGGCCTCCGAGCCGGGACCCCAGGGCTGGGGGTGTCCGGGCGGGACCCCGGGGCCGCTGCGCGCGCAGCCATGACCTGACCCTTTGTCTTGGGGGTGCAGCGCGGGCGGGCCGACGTGGAACCGCGTCGAACCCCCTCCCCTCCTCCTGGAGTATGGCCACTGTCACCTGTCCCGGGTGTCAGCAGGGTCTGCCCCAGTGCCCGGTTCCGCGGTGGGCCTGGTCTGCTGGGAGCTCCTCCTGCCCTGTCTCGGTCCCCTCCCCCCCCCCCCCCCCCCCCCCCCCCCCCCCCCCGGGGGGGGGGGGGGGGGGGGGGGGGGGTCCGCCCCGTAACCTCCGGGCCTCCCTCTTCTGAGAACTGCAGTCCAGGGGAAGCAAGCCAAGGTAAAAAACCTGAAGCAGGAACTTGCAGTTTCCATTCAAAAACTTTGTGGGAACTCCCGCTCTGATCGCAGATTCGGTGTGCATTTGCTTGGTGCTGGGATTTGAAATAGGCTGGCTAAGAGCTGAATGGCTCAAGTATGCAGCGCTTGTCTAGCAAGCCCTCAACGTGTACTTCACAGATAGAGGACCTGTTCGACACTCTAATTTTATCTTCTTCTGTTATCATTATTATGGTCGTGGTGGTGGTATTGGACCTAGGTGCTGTTTCCTAGCTTTTCTAACTCAAGACTGGCACTCTACCCTTGAGCCACACCTCCACTCAACTCTTTGATGGTTAATTCAGATCTCTCGTGAGTAACTGAGAGACTCCATTTCCTGCCTTCTGTGTGTATTTTTCATAATGTTTTCAATTGTTATTATAAAGGTGATGTACAGAGGGGTCACAGTTAAGTAAGTTAGGTTAAGAGTACATTTCTTCTTGGACATTTGTCACCCCTTCCCTCGTTCTCTCTCAGTTTTTCCTTCTGTCCCCACCCACAAGTTGTCTAGTTCATTTTCAGCAGTGTCTAGTGAGCACCACTGTTGCATTTGTTCACTCCATTTCTGTGCCTTCCCTCACAGTTGTTTTTAAAGTAACATTGGACAAAGGTATTTAACCTGTTTTAACCTGATTTTTAAGAACACGATTTGCATTCTTCTGTAAACTCTCCTTTGGTTACAGGAGTTGCAGATGTAAACATTTCCCTCCAGCCCTTCGAAGCCTTCTAATATCCTGTATCCTTTGTGCATCTTTGAGCCTAGTATATTGAACTGGGCTCTTGTACTTTTTCCAGGTGGATTGGAAAGCCTGCCGGTGGTGCTCATCAGGGATAGTCCCCAATGAAAAAATACGAAATATTGGCATCTCTGCTCACATTGATTCAGGGAAAACAACGCTGACGGAGCGGGTGCTTTACTACACGGGCAGGATTGCCAAGATGCACGAGGTAGGGGGGCTCCAGTCCTGGGAGCCTCATTTCAACCAAATGTTTATCAGGTTCATAAAAGCGGGCAGATGAAAACAAAGGTAACTTTGGTTTGGAGTGTGGCGCTGGTGTTTGCCATCATGGTCTGGCTCATCAGGTGTTGGCAGCCACTGCCTGCCGAGTCCCACCCCCAGCCTGAGGCAGTGGGTCTCTACCCAGTCTCCTGTACAAGGGCACAGCACAGGTTGACTTGAGGTGTTCTGCTGAGTCACCCGTGTCAGTGAATCCCTGTGAGTACCCACAGCGGGTTGGCTTTTAACTATTAAATCCAGCTGGGACTGGGTGCCAGTCATCCCAGCAGCAACCAGCCTTGAAGTAAACTAGGATTGTAGTCCTGGCTGTGGTCAGGCAAAAAGGGAGACCCTGTTAAAAAATAAGAGGAAAAAGGGAGGGAATGGCTCAAGTGATAGAGTACCTGTCTAGCAAGTGCAAGGCCCTGAGTTCAAGCCACATTCTGCCACATAAAGAAAATAATGTTCAATCAATATCAGAGCCATTCAAATAGCTTTAACTTTTATGTGTGTATATGGCGGTCCTGAGGCTTGAACTCAGAGCCCAGGTTCTCTCCTGTAGCTTTTTGTTCAAGGCTAGTGCTCTAACTCTTGAGTGTGGTTAATTGGAAATAAGAATATCACACATCCTTGGCCTGAGCTGACTTTGAATTAGTGCTCGTCAGGTCTCAGACGCCTGAGTAGCTAGGATTACAGGTATGAGCCCTGGTGCTCAGCTATTTTTAATGATGGATAATGTTAAATAGAAGGTTTTAAAATTTTTTGATACTTTTCTGAAGGTATTCCTACTCACATGTGCACCTTAACTCATTTAAAAGCATGTCTTCCGCTGGAGAGAACCCTTGTTAAGTCCTGTGCTTTGCACACAGTCCTGTCTGCATGGAGCAGAGCTGGGGGAGGTCTGTTCTCAGTCCTGGCTCATGGACTGAGGCGAGGTTAGCGGGCAGGAACGAGGGAGTGAGCATGCTCGGGGCCGGCAGCTTTGGTCTGTGTTAGCCGCTGTCGAGGACAGCAGGACGGGCAGGCTTGGCAGCAGAGGCAGGGTGGAGCCTGCTGCCGCTCATCTGAGGATTTGAGACCAGCTCAGGCCCGGCTCCATTTCAGCGGGTTTCGTTCTTGGTGCGGGTGCAGATGGCACAGTGTGGGTTGTGCTGTGTTTAGGTGAAAGGTAAAGATGGCGTTGGTGCTGTGATGGACTCGATGGAGCTGGAGAGGCAAAGAGGAATCACCATTCAGTCTGCGGCCACGTACACCATGTGGAGAGACACCAACATCAACATCATTGACACCCCTGGTGAGCACTACTTCGGGCAGGGATCCCTCGGTGCTCCTCCTGGGCCCCCGTTCATGTCCAAGTGACCCCACAGTACTGTTAGGGCCCAGAGCGCTTCATCTTGTCTGGTTTGCTTTGCAGAAGCTCAGACGTGCATGGGGGAAGTGGGGTGGTCTTACCCCCTACACATCTCCACTTGTTCCTGACTTGCCTGTGTCCTAACTCCTTCTAGAGCCGCCTTGATCTTGGTGGTCCTGAAGCTGCTGGCCTGAGTGCACTTGGCGAGCTGGGAAGTGTGCATGCTAATTAGAAGGCTTGTGCTCAAGGCAGACACACTTTCAGGCTGCTCCCAAAACACTACTGCTCTGTGTCCCTTAGGCCACGTGGACTTCACCATCGAAGTGGAACGTGCCCTGCGTGTGCTGGACGGTGCCGTCCTGGTCCTCTGTGCTGTCGGGGGTGTGCAGTGCCAGACCATGACGGTCAACCGGCAGATGCAGCGCTACAGTGTGCCATTCCTGACCTTCATCAACAAACTGGACCGCCTGGGCTCCGACCCCACCAGAGCCCTGCAGCAGATGAGGTACTGAAATACTGTGCTGCAGATGGGGAACTGAGCCACAGATTGGTACTGAGCTGATGAGGTACTGAGCCGCAGATGGGGTACTGAGCCACTGATGAGGTATTGAGCCACAGATGGGGTACTGAGCCACTGATGAGGTACTGAGCCACAGATGGGGTACTGAGCTGCTGATGAGGTATTGAGCCACAGGTGAGGTACTGAGCCGCAGATGAGCACTGAGCTGCAGATGAGGTATTGAGGCACAGAAGATGAGGTAGTGAGCCAAAGAAAGCAGCAAAGATGCAGACCTGTATGTGCCAGCCTTAGGCCAGAGGACAAGCAGTGTAGCTTGATGAACTTCGCCATTAATTCAAACAATGTTCATGTGAGTCCGAGGAGACAACACTGAGTTGACTGGTTTGGTTTATTGTGTGATTTCTTCTGCTGCTTTCTTCATCAATTGGGGAATGTGGCTGCAGTATACTCAGGCCTGAGGGATAACTCGCTCAATCCCTCTTGCCTACCTTAAACCTTTCCTTACATCCTGCTTGGTTTTAGGATGTCTGCCATTGGTTTATGTTTGCATTTGTCATTTCAAAAGGATTGTGAAGGAAGAAAAGTGGCAAGCAGTGTCTTTTTACTTTTCAGGTCTAAACTAAATCACAATGCAGCCTTTGTGCAAATACCCATTGGTTTGGAGGGTAATTTTAAAGGTATTATCGATCTGATTGAGGAACGAGCTATCTATTTTGATGGAGACTTTGGGTAAGTGTTAAAAGTACGTTACTACAGTTTTTTATTTTATAAACCATGAAAGAGAAGGAAAAGATAAGGTCACTAAATAGAGAATAATATCTTTTTGAAACATGGCTGAGTGAGCTATAAGACGGTTCAGTCCTAGCTGTGCCATTGGCGTTCATTCCCAGGTCGGCTGTTGCTTGTTGGGTGATTGGGTCGTGCTGCCTGTGGCCCGCGTGCTGGAAGGAGGGCATCAGTGTAGACAGCTGTTGTACTTTCTCTGTTTTCCACTGTTCATTCTGTAGGATGAAATTACTGTCCTGGATATTGTGATAAAGAGTGGGAGAAAATAGGAATCGAAAATATGCTCTCTCTGCTTCATAGAATTACAAAGATGAAAAGACTAATATGTAAGAAGAGTTAAAATTGTACGTACGGACTTAGGAACAGGCAAACTAACTTTTTGGCATGGGATTTGTTCAGTTGACCTGTGAATGTCCTCTGCGAGCGAATTACCGTAATTGCCCAGTGGTCATCGAACCTCAACTTTGATCGCTGCTACCTCAAGGGCTTGCTGAGACCCAGTCCAGGCCCTCCTGGGGAGTTCTGATTCGTACATGTTCACTTGCAGTGGACACATGTATGCAGGTGACAGTTTGCCTAGCAGAGGTCAGGGTACTTTGGGTTCACCCATGACCCTTGGTTCCAGGGAGTGACCCAGTGCCCTGGTGCTTTCTCCAAAGGTGCTTCCCAAGGCTCTCCTTCTCCCTGTGTAGTTGGTCGGGTGGGCGGGCGCATGAGTGGTATTGAGAGCTGTGTCGTTACTGGCCCTCGTCAGCCACGAAAAGGTGTTTTCTTTTAGTTTTTGTGTGACAGCTGAGAAATGATAGCATTTTGTCTCCCTTAGGCAGGTTTTTTTTTTCCTCTGCTTTATTACTACAATGTCCCCAGACCCTCGAACTGCTGGGTACATAACAGGAGCTAATGAGTCCACCTTACCAGAATCCAGGACACTGCTTCCCATACACTTTTTTGTGCACTAGAACACAGGCAGGCCTTGTTTCCACCTCGGCTCACTGGAAAGGAGTCCTGTGTAATCTCCACACCTGAAGTGAGCTCTGAGGCCCCCAGCGGGCAGCTGCATGCAGTTAAGAACTACTTGGGACTACTTGGAATGAGCATCTTTTTTCTTCCTGGATTCACATTCACTTCCTTCTGTAGTCATCGCTGTTTTTGGAGACATCGTGCTGTGCAGCCCCAGCCATCTGAACTTGCCACGATGCTATGACACAGGCTGGTCTCATGCTCACAGTCCTGCCTTCCGGCAAGCATCAGGATTACAAATGTGCACCACCATGCTAGGCTTTCCACTTGGTGTTGTTAAATGTCAAGTGTATCCATTCTTCAGCTGTGTATATTCTCCTTGTGACTTTTACCTGTGACTTTTACCTGTTCAGCCCCTAGATGAGCAGAGAACTATGTTGATGTTTAAGAGTTTGTTTTGGCCCCCCCTTTTTTTTTCTACAAATTGGAATATTCTGTGTAAGAAAAGAAGTGTGATTGATTTTTTTATTAGTGGGAAGAAGTACAGTCAGATCTTCTCCCATCCTTGAGATTGTGATATTCTCATAAGTAAGATTAGGGTTAGTACAATGAGGGGCTTCAGAAAGCTTGGGATTGAAGTACCCAGTTTCTAGATGCCCCCTCACAGACCACCAGAAACCACAGTCAATGCAAACAGCAAAGAGTCGTTGATTGCAAGCTCGAGCTTGGTCCTTGGAGCACTCGTTAACCGGTGACGCTAAGAGGCCCCGAACATAGAATCAGCGCAGTTTTTATAGTATTAAACAAGTTCACAAGTTCAGGGGGTTTAAGTCCACCTGGACCACATTCCCTTTTTCTAATGGAACATTTAGGCAACTGTTCTATTCCTTAAGGATGGGCAGGGTTGGTGGCAACCTGCGGTTTTTCCAAGAACTATTTTTCTCTTTGGGGGTTACTCTGAGGGCAGCACAGTAACTTACCTTGGGCAAGTTACTTTCTTAAATTAATTTTCTTGTGTAAAATGGAATAATAGAAACAACTTAGTATGAGATGAAGATAGCTTAATACCTATGTTAGCACTTGCTGCAATGTAGGAATTAAATACTTGACTACTCTTGTTATATAACCACATTGGAAGAATTTTAGTCTTGATTTACTTAATACTCTTCCAAGTCATTGTTTTGATCTTAGAAGTATTTTTACAGCATATGTTCAGCTTAGATCTCTAGAATATGGCGGAAAACCAGTTTGTGTTACATTTTGAAAGGAACTTGTATTACATCATTTATTTCTGCAAAGTATGACACAGAAAACAATACAGTATTACCAAATTAAGTATATAGGTAGTTTTCTCATGGTAAGGAACTGTGTGTTGACTGTTCTGTATATTAATAGTACAGCTTTGAACAAACTATTTGCCCAGTATTTTTGCCCACTATTCTGTAGGAATTTCAAAGATATATATTAGTTTTATTTGCCATTTGGATGCAAATATATTAGAACTCTTTTATTACTTAGAAAATGTTTTAGTCTTTCACTATGTCTTTTTCATTGGTGTTTCATATGTCTAATTGAATATTTCTGGAGTAATAAAATAAAGCATTTCTTTCTTAGTCAGATTGTCCGATACGATGAAATTCCAGCTGAATTTAGGGCAGCAGCATCAGACCACCGGCAGGAGCTAATTGAATGTGTTGCCAATTCAGACGAGAAGCTTGGTGAGCTGTTCCTGGCAGAAAAAATCCCTTCAGTCTCTGACTTAAAGGCAAGTGCTCTGAAAATAAGCCGTGTTAACAAAAACATTGTATTTGTTTTGTGGAGAAAGGGACATGGTGCTTTTACATGTGACTTTATTAAGGAAATCTAAGTTCATAGAACCTAATGGGCTTCATCAAAACATTTGGTGTGTCATATTCCTTTGGGGAGAAAGAAGTGAATTGTGTGGTATGTTCAAATGAGAAGGAAGTCATCATTTGTTTCAGGAAGAAGATAGGTAACAGCCAGCTTCTTGGCTTATTAAAAAGAAATAAGCATAGAAAAACCACAGCAGAAAGATAGACTGAGGCGAGATGGCCAGGTGCTTCAGACTTGAAGCTGGTGTTCTCACTGCTGTGTGACTGAATTGCACACAGCCTTATGGGCTCTTCATTCCAAGGTGCTTGGGGACAGAGGAGGTTCCAGCCTCAGACACACCATTCTCTGGCAGAGACTTCTGCAAAGAAGACAGATGTGGAAAGGAGCTCAGTACTGCTCACTGTGGGGGAAGTGCAAATCAAGCCAAATCACACCTACTACAGTGGATGTCATTGAAAAACACCCAGCATCCTCAGCCAGTGCGGGAAGGATGTGGAGACTCCTCCCTGTGCATGGACAGTGCAGCCACTGCACACCGGCACTGCCTCAGACCCTCCACGTAGTACTCCCATCCAGCCATGCCCTTCTGGGGTGTACACAGAGAAAAAGGAATCTCCAGTGTTGTTTGCCAGAGCACAAAGATGGGAGCAACCCACCTTCCACTGACCAGTGAAAGGAAAGGAAGACAAGATCTCATCTGGACACACAATGCATGTTTTTTGTTTTTGTTTTTTTGGTCGGTCGTGGGGCTTGAACTCTGGGCCTGAGCGCTGTCCCTCAGGTCTACAGCTCAAGGGTAGCACTCTACCACTTGAGCTACAGTGCCATTTCCGGATTTCTGGTGGTTTATTGGAGATAAGAGTTTCATAGACTTTCCTGCCCGGGCTGGTTTTGAATCTCAACCCTCAGATCTCAGCCTCCTGAGATTACAGGTGTGAGCCACTAGCCCCCAGCAACAATACATGTTTTTTACACTTGGAAGGAACAATTCGGAGACATGGCACAACATGGACGGTCCTCAAAGGCATGCCAACTGTAATAAGCCAGATTCAAAGGGATAATTGCTTTGTGATTTCACTCACATGGGGGACCTAGGGTATCATGTCTCCCACCCTTTGTGCTTAGTTGTTTCTCAGATAGGATCTCACATTTTTGCCTGAGATGGGCCTCAGAATGAGATCCTCCTACATACACATTCGGTATGGCTAGGATTACAGGTGCACCACCTAAAGTGAAAAGGCCGGGCACTAATGGCTCTTGTCTATAATTTTAACTTCTCAGGAGGCTGATGATCAAGGTTCAAAGCCAGCCCATGCAGACAAATCCTGTTTATCCTTGGAGGCTCTCGTCTCCAATTAACTAGCAAAAAAGGCAGAAGTGTAGGTATGGCTCAAGTGGTAGAGTGCCAACCATGAACAAAAGGGCTGAGCTTGGGCATAAGGTTCAGAGTTCAAGCCCCAGTACTGGCACAAGAGAGAGAGACAATTTAATTAGATGTTTTAGTTAGGTAGTACTTTCATATGGTTTAACATTTACAGTTTACAAATGTATGTAGTAAAACTCTTACCCTCTTCTACCATCTGCCCTGTTTTCTGTCCTTTCTCCAAACTGGAAGCTAGCTGATATTTCTCTGTGTGTCTTTGCGGAGATTGTTTTTGAATATATATTACTTCTTCTATTTTAGACAAGTATTAACATGATTTGTAATGTTCCAGTTGAACATTAAATCCGTTTCTGATCCTGCAAAGGGAATATGATTTCTTTTCAAATATTTTGACCTTAACTCTTGGTACTAGATTGTAGTCTCTACATGAGATGGTTTGTAAGTGACTTAAAGCACAAATGCAGTGTATTGCAATGTTAACATTAATGTATAGCTGATTTTCCTTATCTTCCCATCTTTGTAGCTTGCAATCCGAAGAGCTACTCTGAGCAGATCATTTACCCCTGTTCTCTTGGGAAGTGCCTTGAAGAACAAAGGAGTTCAGCCTCTTCTAGATGCTGTTCTAGACTTCCTCCCCAATCCATCTGAAGTCCAGAATTATGCCATTTTCAATAAGGAAGAGTAAGTCTTGTAACTGAACCTGAATTTAGGCAAAAATATTGTCACAAAATCCTATATGCTACGAAGGAATTTCTTCTGGTTATGTTGATGATCTTCCTATAATTAGCAAGTATCAGTCACTTTTTGGCTGAGAAAACAGCTTGGCGTATAGAAGAAAGCTTACTATTCATTTCCCCTGTGAGACTATTCATTATACAGCTTGGTCAGTCTGTCTTGGTGGTTGTATAAGAATAATTTGTTGGGGCTGGGAAGGTGGCTCAGTGGTAGAGCGCTTGCCTTGCATGCCTGAGGCCCTGGATTCAATTCCTCAGCACCACATAAGCAAAAAGAAAAAAGCCGGAAGTGGTGCTGTAGCTCAAGTGGTAGAGCGCTAGCCTTGAGCTGAAGAACTGAGGGACAGTGCCCAGGCCCAGAGTTCAGGCCCCATGACCGGACCCAAAAAAAAAAAAAAAAGAATAATTTGTTTTATCATCTCCCAATGTTTTTAGCATTATACATTTTCTCATTTAGGACCAGCTATTTCCATTTTTAATTTTGTTTAATTTTATTTTTAATATCTACTTTAAAAACACCAAATTTTAGGAGACAAACTCCTTCAAGTTTCTTTGATCATTTCAGGGTTTTTTTTTTTCACTCTTTACCAGTTTTTCTGTCTGCTCTAGTCCCATCACTGCATAGTAATTAAACTTTAAAACTTGATCTTTGTAATATCGGTCAGGGAAATGTTATTTCTAAGAGAGGCCTAAAATGTTTAGCACCTGTGAATTTGCTCCAATAATATGATTTGATAAAACTAATTGAGATAAAAGAAATAGCACATACTGTATCTCATCATCTCGTGTTTCTTTTAAGTGATTCAAAAGAGAAAACCAAGATCTTAATGAGTTCAAAAAGAGATGGAACTCACCCATTTGTGGGCCTGGCTTTTAAACTGGAGGTGAGTTGCTTCCTACCATATCTTAGCTACAACCTGTAAGAATTTTCTTTATTTTGAAGCTTTTCCTCTTATTATAGAATGATTGTAACCCTTATAAAACATTTGGAAAATAGGAAAAGTAGATGCAGAAGACAGAAGCAAAAGAATTCCCTAAAATAAGCGTCAGTGGCTTATTCCCTGGAATCCTAACTCCTTCCTTGGGAGACTACGGTCCCAGGGATCGTGGCTTGAAGCCAGCTTGGGCATAAAATCTTGGAGACTGTCTCCAAAATAACTAGAAGCAGATTAGCAAGCAAGACAAGCAAATCTGAGGCTCTGAGTTCAAACCCCAGTACCACCAAACAACAAAAGAAAGTTGTAGCACTTTTGTGTACTTCTTCCTCTTTTCTCTTTGCAGTTTTTATTTTTTATGTCTTTAGTACTGCATTTGAACTCAGGGTCTTGTGCTTACTAGGCAAGCACTCTACCATGAGCCCTTTTATGCATATTTTTGAGAGCATCTGTCTTTTAGGCGACCTGGATTGTGGGCCCGGTCCTCTGTCCCTTTTGTCACTGGGATGGCAAGTGCATGTCCCTGTGCGTCCCCTATTATCTGAGATAGAAACTTGGGAACTTTGTTGCCCAGACCTGCCTTGAACCATCATTCCCTGATCTGTGCCTCTAAGTAGCTAGGAGTACATACTTGTCTAAAATAGAAAATTTTCCACTTCTAATTTAACATCATTTTAAATGTGGTCCATGTTTCTATACATAGTTTAAACATTTTGTGTTTTGTGTTGGGTTTCGTTTTGTTTGAAGTCCTGGCAGGCTTCAAACTCACAATCTTCTTGCTTTAGTTTCCTGAGTACTGGGGTTACAGGCATGAGCCTGGCTTAGCATAAATATTTAAATTTTATCATAATATTCTATCAGGTACATGTGCCAATTATGGTATGTAATTTTCCTGATGTTGCCTAATTATTGGCTGTTTATGTTTTTTCATAAGTTTCAGCACTGTAAGTAATTGCAGAGATTTGCTCTGGGATAGTAATAGTACGGTGTGTCAGTGTGCCTCGGTCTCCTGGCCTTGTCTGTGCTTTAAGACTGAAACCTCACCGACAACTGAAAAACGCTCTGCTTCAAGAAACTGAGATGGCTCCGTACAGTATTACTTTAGAAACTATGCTGTTTGACATAGAAAGATGTTTAAGAATTAAAAATGTTTAGTTTACAGAAAACTTATGTATGACTGAGATCCCATATTGTTGTTTCATATTGTAATGTTCAAATAGGAAAAATGGTAGATAAGTGGAAAGTATTGAAAGTAGTTATTTCTGGGATGCAGTGATAAGCTTTTTCTATTTAAAAAGTTACAAAATATGATGGTGAGAAAATAATTTTAAATTAAAAGGAAGTAATGCTTCAGTGGCCATTTTTATTGATAAAGCTAAAAAAAAATACGTGTTTAGGTGTGATTGAGCATGAGCTTCTCCGCCTTTTCATTCCACCACAAGCAAAAGAGTGAGCCAATAACCAGGTCCTCTTTTTCTCGTGTGTTCAGTTTTTTCCCGTATGTTTAGTGGCGTTTACAAAAACAAGAAGACAGAAGGATACTTCCTATGTAAACAGTGGGAAATGTCCAGTAGCCTTCATTTCAAGGGCGTATGGAAGTGTGTCCGGTTGCAAAGGCCCAGCAGGCCTGTAATTGCTCATTCTCGTGTTCAATCTAGTACGATATACTTTGTGATACCCACCCCAGGATGCATACAGATGGGCTGCTAAGACCAGAAAGGGCTTATTGGAGATGGTTGAGAATGTTGGTCCTTACGTTTCTTGTTCTTCTCCCAGGCAGGCCGGTTTGGACAGTTAACATACGTCCGCAGTTACCAGGGAGAGCTGAAGAAGGGCGACACTGTCTACAATACCAGGACGGGGAAGAAGGTGCGCGTGCAGCGGCTGGTGCGCATGCACGCCGACCTGATGGAGGCAAGTGTGTCTGGAAGCCCTTCCGTCCTGGGGCTGGGCAGTCTCCCCTCCATCGGACCTGCTCGGCCTGGGCTCCCTGCTTCCTGTTCTTCGGGGTATTGTAGCACTGTCCTGTCACCAGGCTCGTAGCTGAAGTGGCACATTTAAGAACTCCTTTCATACTGCTGCCACATTTTCTCGATGACTGAGGTTCAGGCAAAGGGACTCAACACGGGATTTACCAGTCTCTTCAAGAAATGCAAAGATGCTGAGTGGTAGCAGATGCCTATAATCCTAGCACTGGGGAAGCAGGGGCCAAAGGAAGAGAAGTTTGAGACCAGTCTGACCTAGATAGTGAGCCTCCAGCTCAAAAACAAAAAGCTGTAAAGGGTGTAATGGGCATTCAGCATAACATGGTTCTTGAAGGTTTGGGAGTAATAGTAATAGTTCAGGAAACATTTCTGGAATTATTTCTATTGTTAACCCCTTGCAGAGCCAGATGGGTGCCAGAATCCAGCTGAAAAGTTTCAATTCCTCAATGTCAAGTGGAGGTCTTTGACTTACAGCATGGCCTGGCTCTGATTCTTCTGTAGTTCTTTATGGTATTCTCAGGCAGGAATGCTGGGCACATGTGGCTGTCCCCACCCTGGCCCTTCCCCAAGCCAGCTCTGTCCTTCCGAAGAAGCTTGTCAGTTAAGCAAAATCCTATACACTGGGGGAAGCTGTAATTTTTGTCCCTTGGAAGATGAAGGTTGGAGTTGGGCTGTTTGGGATTGGGCAGCAGAGGGCAGGCTGGAGGGTCCATGACTGTCACAACTCTTCTAGGGGCCAGAGGCAGCTCTGCCCAGCCCGGAAGCATGGGGGCACATGGCCTGTGTGCTCCTCTGCCACAGCTGCTGTGAAGGAGCTGGGAGGAGGAGCAAACAATGGCTCAGGAGCGTGGACGCAGAGATGGCTTTGTTCTTTGCTTTCCTGTGTTTGCCTGATTGTTTGCGTCTGTGAGAATGGAAAGTATTTTTAGTACAGCGGGTTCCATTTTTCTGCTGCTGTTTTCAAAACTTCCTTTGCAGTTGTTTTGAGTGTGCCTGTCGTGCACAGTCTCGTTGCCTAACAGTAATGGCACATAGTCTGCTTTTCGTTCCATGAAAGAACTTGACAACAGTGATCACAATGTTTTGTTCAGAGTTCATGTCTTAGGTAATGAAGCCAGCACCCTGAGCTTCCCACTTAATGTAAAATCTTGTCCATGGAGACACATGCTGTTTTAAAGACCTTATCCAAGATACATCCTAGTGTGGCACTGGCCCTTCCTCTGGAATTTGTAGTTAGAATGTCTGGATTCATGTAGAGCATGTTCCTTGTAGCTACTCTGCAGCTGGGTCTTGATCTGTATTACTCATAGTGTCATTGTGTACTGTCTCCAGGATGTCGAGGAGGTGTATGCTGGAGACATCTGTGCATTGTTTGGCATTGACTGTGCAAGTGGAGACACGTTCACAAACAAAGACAACAGTGGCCTTTCTATGGTAAGCCATTTACAGCAAAGCTACCTATCATTTGAACTCCAAGAGTTGGTTATGTATTTTAATACTTCCAAGAAAGAACCATAGCCAATTCCATTACTTCACGTTCTTATGGCTCCAGTGTCATATAGCTTTTTCAGTATTAGAGAAATGTCACGTGTAAGCTAATGAATGGCCTCCTTTTCCTTAGTAAAGCTGTTTTGCAGTCTTCCACACTTAAGGTAGGGAAAAGCTGTCTACTAGCTAACACCTGATAAGTAGCTCTGTACCTGAGGTCCTACTGCAGACAGCCTGCACTTTCAACTTGGCGGTGCTACCATAGATGGCCTGCACCTTGGACCCAGAGTTCCTACCATAGACAGCTGTGCCTTGAGCCTAACGATCCTGCCGCAGACTGCCTCGTTTGAGATGTAGATCGGAATATTTTGTATTGACAAAATCTATATCTAAATACTAACTACAGTGATATGAAGTGATTTGTTCCTGTCGGCAGCACTTCCTAGGCTGTGAAGAAAATGACTTCCTGCTAAGAGCTCACTGCCACCGTGTCTGGCAGCTGGCCCTGGCCCGGGAGGTCTCATCTTCTTTCCAAATGTTTAGTGATTTTTTTTTAGAAATGGGTTTATTTTCTACTTCTCAGATCTGTGATTGGCCGTCTGATAGCCTATTTTGATTAATAAAGTAACTTACCAGGAAGTTACAGTGCAAGTATAGATACCAGCCAATAAGAATTCTATGTGTCAGCATTTTGGATTCATGGCAGTGATGTAGTCAGTAAACTGGGGGAGAGGGTACCATGTAAGTGTACACATTTACTAATATCTTATGACAAAGTACTTATTTATTATAAAGACAAACCATTATGTAGCCTACAGATGTTGGCTATTGTTTTTGTTGTAAAGTCACATTAATCCTTCCTGATCCATATAATATATATTGTAGGAATCAATTCATATTCCTGATCCTGTCATTTCAGTGGCAATGAAGCCTTCTAACAAGGTAGGAGTCTGGAAGTATGGTTTAGTATACCACAGTACAAACTTGAGTCTCCCTCTTTGTCATAGTACCTGGTGATAAACAGCTGTCCTATAGTCTCTGTCTCCTCTTCGTAGTCAGACAACCTGTTTAAATATGCAGGTCTATTTAGTAATAACAACTTCTCAGTGTGTTTGAAGACATTGATGGTAGGTTGGTATTCAATCACTGTGTCATAACTGTTACTGAATGTCATGGGAGCCCTTCTTGGAATCTCAGAGTCCTGAAGGAGAGGAGATGCAGCTGCTCACTGGAAAGCACCGTGGAGTACTGGACAGATGCCTCATGCCTTCTAGAACACACCTCTCAACTGTGTACTAGTCAGGAAGTAAATGTCAGAGCCTTTCAAACATTTTCTTTCAAATATGATTTTTTACCTTTAGATTTTAAAATACTTTCATGCTGAGTTTGACGCCCACTTTACGCTTTTGAGCACTTAGCAGAGGCACAGTTGCTGGGATGTTCCTCATGCACGTGACCGCCCATCAGCATTAACCTGATCTTGAGCCATAATTGTTCCGTCACAGGCTGCTGTGGCCGTCACAGCAGACATGGAGCCTGGCGTATCAAGCAAGCTTTCCGTGACCTCTTGTCACCTTGACTTAACCACTCAAAGAACATAGTCTCGTAAACTGTCCTGTGAGATACATTCTGACGGGTACTACTTCATCTATAGTGAGGATCCTTGAGATGCCCTAGACTTTCTTTGTTACAGAAAAGGCAAGTTGAAGTGACAGCAGAATCATTTCAGCTTCTCTGAAATTTGACCAAGGGCAAACCTTACCTCCTCCCTCAGTGAGCCCCCATGGCTCACGTGTAAAGCTTTCTTGTGATTTTTACAGGGTTAGAAGTGAAAGGTGCTCCACTGCTTCACTCCTCAATCCAAAGTTCATGACAGACATTTAGCCTTGACCCCACCTGTGATGTCCCCTGTCACGAAATGGCTCACAGGTTTGGTGGGGACTAAGGCATCTTTTCCTTTGGGGTTTAGGCGAGGCTGTTATTCCACTGAGTGTGTGGATTATATCAGAGAAAAGCTGAATCATATCCACTGAGCTTGCTCACAAAGCAAGAAGTCTTGACATTTGCCTGTCTTAGTGAGTTGTTCATCGACTTGAATATACAGAAGTATCTTAGTAAACATGCTAATTCTTTTGATTGTGTTTATTTATGTGTAGAACTTCTGAAATGTACCAGACTTCTGTCTACTTACTGGGTAGTTTTCTACGAGTAGACAGATTTTGTGTGTATAATAGGAAAGGCATGGTCTTGATGTGAGAGGAAATCATATTCACCTAGTTGTCTTCTCATCTTTTGGATGTGGGATCAAAGTCATGTGTGCATGCATGCGCATGTGTGCGTGTGCACGTGTATGCATAAAGGTATGGAGTAGAACTCAATGTTGATCATCTTTCTTAATTACTGATACATTTAAATTCACTAAAATTCCTCCAAAAGTAATCTTGCTTTTTATGTTTAGTAAAATAACCTTTCTTTCTCCTTTAAAGAACGATCTGGAAAAATTTTCCAAAGGAATTGCCAGGTTTACAAGAGAAGATCCAACATTTAAAGTCTACTTTGATACTGAAAGCAAAGAGACAATTGTATCTGGAATGGGAGAACTGCACCTGGAGATTTATGCCCAGGTAATGAGTAATAAGGAAGTTGTGCTGGAGGATTTTTGGTACTGGTATGTATTTTAAGAGTAAAAAGCTGATCATGCTCAATCTAAGGACATGACAGTCGTGCAGACTGTGCTGAGGTTTGTGCCCTGTGTTGATCAACTTATTGACTCCTTCCTCCCCTGCGTCCTGCAGACTCCTTAGTGTTGATCTCTGCATCTTGTTGAAATTGTGGACTTCCAGACTCAAGGCTCAACCACTCATCCTCACTTTATGGTTATCTGGGTTAAGTAGATTGTCCCACTCTTAGGAAGACAGCCTGTAGTTTTACCCAGTCTGCGGGTCATTTCTTTGAAGTCTGTGATGAAAATGCCTATAATGCAGACAGATGAGTAGTGGTCCCAACCATACAGCTTTAGTTTTTACTCTTAACTCGTATGTGTGTGCGTGCACACACACACACACACACACACACACACACCATGTATATGGAAACTACATATTCTGGAAATTATGGGGGGATCCTGTCCTTTTTTTTTTTTTTTGTCATGGAGCTTGAGCTCAGAGCACTACTGTTCCTGAGCTTTTTCATAAAAGGCTAGCACTCTACCACTTCGAGCTATAGTTCCACTCCCAATTTTCTGGTGGTCAATTGGAGGTTAGAGTCTCTGGACTTTTCTGCTGGGTTGGCTTCAAAGAGTGATCTTCAGATCTCAGCCCTTCTGAGCAACTAGGATTACAGGTCTGAGCCACAAGCTCCTGGTCTATCTGAAGTTAAGATAGAAAATCCTGACAAGAAATTTAGATTAGTGCATGTGTAACAATGATAACATTTTAGTGTACAGAGTGGTGCTCTGTGTAAATTAAACATAGCTCTATATAGATAGCTTCCTGTTGTTTACCCATCATGTAGCTAATCCTTACACTAAGCTGACTTAAGACTGACTATGGGGCTGGGAAGGTGGCTCAGAGGTAGAGTGTTTGCCTTGCATGCATGAGGCCCTGGGGTTCGATTCCTCAGCACCACATAAGCAGAAAAAGCTGGGAGTGGCATTGTGGCTCAAGTGTTAGAGCACTAGCCCTGAGCTGAAGAGCTGAGGGACAGTGCCCAGGCCCAGAGCTGAGGCCCCAAGACTGACCAAAAAAAAAAGATTGACTATTGTGTTATCTATTTCATTGAATGTTACTGAGGCATTTAAGATGCTTAAGATTTTTTTTTCTTTCAGTATATTTTTCAAATAACATGTGAGAAAATTATCTCCCATTTGTTTTTAGAGGATGGAAAGAGAATACGGCTGTCCTTGTATCACAGGAAAGCCCAAGGTTGCTTTTAGAGAGACCATCACTGCCCCCGTCCCGTAAGTATGTGATGTAATTAGACATTACAAGGCTGAAATGGAATCATTTATTATGGAATACACATGGCACTGTTACAGTTAATGAAGATGTTTCTATGTGGTGACACTTTGGGGTTTGCTTGGGCCCTAGGCTAGATCCCAGCGAGGACTGGTGTGCAGGTCACAGGCATGTGTCTGACTCCGCTCACCTGAGGGTCTTGGCTTATTCCAGCTCTGCTTCTTTTGGGAGGCGACTGTTATGTTTTACTTTTGTGCCATATTGTGGGTGCCAGAGAACTTGCATTTGCCAAGGAATAATCTCCTGCAAACAAAGAAAACCAGGGCCAGGGTGAAATTGATGTTGCACTTTCTTGGCAATAAAGCCATGTTCATAAAGAACAGCACAAAACCATTAAAATAGCTACGCCTAATATACACTCCTATCTGGATTTACATAGATTCTAACTCGAGTGTCAGATTCAGTCTAGCTTCCTAGCTGCAAAGGGCTTCTCGGTTTCTAGTAGAGGCATCAAGGAAAGGTAAAGCCACTGTACCTGAGACGCAATGTCATGTAGCAGAATGCTATAGTCTAGCTCAATAAAGTCATCGTTCCGTTGCTGGGACAGAAAAACAAAACCATCATTAGTCAAAGTGATACTGTGATTTACATGATTTTGATACTCCCACTTAGGTAAAAGGGAAAATTGAAAGTCATAATTTACTCTGACAGAAAAATTGTGTCAAGCTACATTTTGAAATCAGTGTTTTGTACTTGTTACTCTAAAAACTTATTCATCTGTTTTTATTTTTCAATTTGTGGTGTACAGCTTGTTTTATTCAAGGATCTTTAATGTTTCATTGGTGAGGTCATCTAAATGATACGTACATTTAAAAATCAGTTTTACAAAAGAAATTCTCTTTTAGAAAATGGAACACAAGAAGGTGTAACAAATGTAGTTCTCTGATAGTACACTGGAAACTTTGTTCTGAGCTGCTCCTTGCTTTGGGAATAATTAGTATTTACACCATGATCTGTGCAGAAGGGGACAGATGCTGCCCACCTGCCAGGTGTGGGAGCAGAGATTAGCCCACCCCACTGTCTCCCTCAGCGCACTCACACGTCCCATGGGTATGGAGACAGCCCCTAGATTCCAGTGGATTCCTTGGTTAACAGTGAAGTAGCCCAGGTCAAGTAAGGATGTGGGGTTCTCTCCTCAGACTATCTCCCAGCAGACTTTGCCTTGAGCACCATTGTAAGGAATGCTTCTTGGGCTGGGAAGGTAGCTCTGTGGTGGAGTGCTTGCCTTGTATGATTGAGGCCCTGGGTTCGATTCCTTAGTACCACATAAGCAGAAAAAGCTGGGAGTGGTGCTGTGGCTCAAGTGTTAGAGCGCTAGCCTTGAGCTGAAGAGCTGAGGCACAGCGCCCAGGCCCAGAGTTGAAGCCCCACAGAAAAAAATAAAGATCACATATGCACCACTTAAGGGCTCCTACACGTCAAATCTTCATGGGTAAAGACATGAGTGGTTAAAGCCTCTGTTGACTAATGCTTAAAAATCATAATATGGTGAAGTTTTGTAAGAGTTAAAAAAAAAAAAACTAGTAACACTTGTGTAAATAGATTGATAGATGTAGCTCAAGAAAACACTGACTGTGAGTTCATGCCCTCTGTGCCTAGACTCGGGGCAAGGCCTCAGCACCTACAGGAGTGCTGTGCTCCCTTGATGCTGGTGACTAGAAAGCAGGCTCCTATTCTCCAGATGCTGCAATTTGTAGGCCAGGACTCAGCACCACACTGAGTGCTCAGCTCATTTCCTGCCTTCCACGTGCCAGGTGCTTGGTGTCAACTGGTTTCAGAAGCCTGTGGGGAGATCTGCTCAGCTGCCCAGTAGCTGCCAGCACTGAGGCAAGGCAGCAGGAAAAGGCCTTGCGCACAGGAGTAGATCAGAACTGTTGTGGGCTTCTTGTGCTCTAGTCTAGATGATATCCACTTCTGGCTTTTTGCTGGCTAACTGGCGATAACAGTCTCACGGCCTTTCTTCCCAGGATGGCTTTGAACCAAGATCCTCAGCCTCCTGAATATAGGATTACAGACAGGAGCCACCAGTGCCGGGCCAATAGATACACTTCTAAGTAGTTCTCATAGCAGACTTAAGAAAACCTAAAGCTACCAGCAACTAAGATAGGAGACTGTAGATTAAGAAAACTCCACTCAGTGAGCTAAAAAGTGATTGGAACTATTGCAGAGGTGGACAGTAATCCACCCCACACAGACTATGACAATCCTGCTGCTACTCTCCCTCACACTAGCCCCTGCGGAATAGGCCAGGCATGTCTCTTAAGTAGTTGAGGCACACTGTTCAATAGAGAAAGGAAGCTGAAATTTGGTATTGCAGACAAAATTTATATTGCCAAAGGAAATATTCTGTATTAAGCTGAACCCAGAATGGCCAGATTTGTACCTCAGGTCTTCACTTTTGAGCGTGCACCTTCCCCTGTGGGAATCATTATCTATACCGTGTGCCAGGGCCTGTCCTGCCTCTAAGAGTGAGCAAGCAGAGTCACAGTTAATGAAGTCCAGCTTGCTGAACATAAAAGGTTCATTTCCATGGTTGCCCTGGTGCTTCAAGAGCACCGCCAAGCCGCTCTCCACCAAAAATGTTCCTGCAGCCCTGGCTTCCTTTCTCTAGTGCTGGGGAATGCAAACTAACCCAGCCCAGTTACTGGAGACAGACTGAGCAAGGGAGGCGTGGGCTTTGCATCTCCTAGTCAAATGTGTGACCTTTGCACTCTTTCTACAACTCTGCCCTGGGTCTTGACTGACTGGCCACTCCCTCAGAAAACCTGGTTCCCTAGATGGCATGTGGAACAAATGAAGCACGTGTCATCAATGCCAGCACTGCCGAGAGTGTGCTTGATAGAGATCACTTACCACCTGCTTGACAGTTTGAATTTTTGCCATTTTATACCATGTATTTTCAGTTGAATTCTGCCATATTATATAACCACAGGCAACCTGGGCTAAGTGTTGAACAGGCTTCATCTGAGGAGGTACATTTCCAAAATTGTCTGGTGAGAGAAACATTCATAGGATAAGTTACTTTGAATACACAATATTAATGTATTTTAGAAATCAATGCTAAATTCTTTTTTTTCTTAAAGGAAAAGGCTAAATTTCCATATTTTAGTTTTCTTCAAATGGGTACCAAAAATAATTAAAAGCTACAGATCCATAAAATTTCAAAGTTCCTTCTTGTGTTTGATGAGACTAGTGATGAATGTTTTTGCAAAAGCCATCCTATCTCTAACATAGCTCTGTCTAGCAATTTTAAGCATAGATAATCGAGATTAAGCTATTTTCTTTCCTTTGTCAGTATGGAGTTTTGAACTCAGGGGTTGTTTCGTACTTGGCCAGGCTAGCACTCTTGGGATTAATCTTGAGGTTGAAAACCATACTTTGTCACATCATGTGTGTTACCTGGAATGTTCTGTGCTGCTAGTGGTTCCTTTGTGGACTTGAGGGTCTGGTAAAACTTGTTGTCTTCCTCATCTGGGTTCTCTCCGATGCCCCCTTGGAATGTGAAGTTGACCTCGGGTGCAATGTCCTGTCCTGGTGGCGGGTAAAGCACCTCGGCCGTGCAGTTCACTGTAACCTGCTGTTGGAAACATTTTTTACAAAGGACCTTTACTCTGGATGTTTTCCTAGATAGGCCTCTAACAGTGTTTCAGACTTAACTTCAGAGAGCTTGTTTTCCCAGGTATCTAGTTGGGCTTAACAACTGTTAAGTTTTCTAAAGGTATCAGGAAGGTAACCTAAAATAGATAACTTACATTTATCACTTACTAGGCTTCCTAATCTTGTAAATTCTAATCCTAAAACTTTAAATAGGCTAACTTTAAGTGTCTATGGTAAAACCAAATTTTAGTTTCTTGTCATATAATAACTCGACTGCTTACTTTAGTTTTTCTATTATTCTTACTCTGTTCCTAAATGAAGATACAGCAGCTTATAACTAGATATAAAACTAGCCCTTCGGTATACAGGTAGATAAGACTGTAGCACTTGGCTTTGTCTAGCCAGCAGCTCAGAGGCCTCATGAATTCTTCATGGTAGCATGTATCTCTTGTGAACCACACACAAGGGGGCAAGTTCTTTAACACATCAACATGTGCATGGTAGTTTTGTCTCATTGATAACTTGACAGGTGTATAAACTTTAAAATTTTGCCTGCTTATGAAAAGGCCCTAACAGTGGTATAAGTTGGCCATTGCTTCCTAATGTTTAGAAGCACTAACTTTGGTTAAATACCTAACCAAAATCAAGTAGAAAGTCAGAAGACCGGAGAGTAAACTCACTTAGCTCCAGGAGGTAGAAGTTCAGACTTCTTATTGAGTATACTGTTCCAAATGAAGGACAGATTGCAAAGTGGCTTAATAGAAATAACTCATAATACAGACTCACATAAGCTTAGCTCACTTGGTCAGTATTTTATAAAAATCTGGGATTTCACAATAATTTAAATCCCTAAGCAAAGAAGCTGGCAAATGTTTGACTAAAAAGGGCATCCTACTTACTTTTTGGATAATTTCTTCCACAGAAAATTTAATGTGATACTTGTGCCCTCTTCCTGGAAGATCCTAAAATAAAGAGAATGGGATAGAGAGAAGGAAGTACTGTAATAAATTGGGTATTTGCATCATTAGAAGGCCTTTTGGTCGGGAAGTTGGCAAGTGGGAAGAAAAGATGAAAACCTGGTGTCTTTGAAAAGGCATGTCACCAGATGTGTACCCCCTAATTCAGCAGGTTTGGGGGCCAGGTGCAATGTGGATGGAACCGCAGTGAGGACAGAAGTACACAGGTACACTAGGCACAGATCATGACCACTAGAAGGCTGTCACCAGTGGGTGGGTAGGAAATTGTGCAGCAGCTTTTTCTTAGAGCAGTGTAGCCTCTGTCAGTGAATATCGAGTCCGCCTCCAGGCAGATGGCTGAAAGTGTTGGAAGCCTGCTGGGCCTGAGTACCTCTTCTGTCTCACTCCACCTGACAGTTCTTACAAGAGTAAGACAGGCATTTAGCTATTCAGCGTTTAAATCAAGGGATATACGTGGAGACGGCTCCCTTGTGTTACCTGGTGCAATCTGGAATGAAATCTCTGGCAATCTATGCAACAGAGAAGTAGAAACAGGGTGTCTCAAATCCCAGCCATGCTAATAGCCCTGTCATGGGTATTTTGTTCCTCACTGGGGCATGCTGTGTGTGGCCAGGCCAGCCTCAGCCCACATGTGATTCTGTATCTCCCCACCCCGCCCGGAGCGTGCGGAGCGTGCATACAATCTCGCGTGTTGTCTGCCTTATGGTGGAAACAGCTCCGGAACTGCAACGCAAACTGTCCCCAGCCTGCCCCTCCCCAGACTGTCCCAGGAGCGAGCCTCAGCAAGAGGAGACCCCGGGTGGAGGCCCCGCGTGCATTCACCTCCTGCGGGTCCCCATACCCCGGGTGAGACCCCCCTGCGCTCACCTCCCGATGTCCCCAGACCCAGACCCGGGCGGAGGCCCCGCGTGCGCTCACCTCCCGGCGCGCCTGCTCCACCGCCCGCACCTGGAACAGCTTGTGCGGGGTGCCCTGCTGGTAGTTGACGCAGCTCTCTGCCACGGAGGCCGCCCTGGAGGCCGCCGAGTGGCTGGGCGGAAGCTCCATTTTCGCGCTTGGACGGGTGTGGCGGGGTCGAGGCAAGCGCTGGGTGTCCCCGGGCCTGGCTGGGTTGGGCAGGGCCGGGCGCGTGCGTGCCGATCGGCGCCCTCTGCTTCCTCCCCTTCCTCCCGCTCCCGCGCTGGCCTCGGCCCTTCCCAGGCCCCGCCCGCTCCTTGGGAGGCCGGCCCCGCCCGCCCGCTCCAGCGAGGCGGCGCCAGGGTCTGGAGGTGCGGGGCGGTTCTGCGCCCTCACGGACCGGAAAACGTGATTGCTCCGAGGGCCTTGGTCTCCTCCAGGACACCGGTGTGTGCGCCCCGGCCCCGTGCGTCCTAGTGTCCTAACCTCGCTGCCCACGCCGTCCACACCTGGGGCACGGGAGCGGGGCCTGCGTGGTGGCTTCCCCCATCCCCTCCGTCAGCTGGGAGGCCTGGGGGGAGGGCGGAGCCGTGGTCGTGCTATGCCATCTAGCATTTTATTGTGAGTGAGTGAAGATGGCCCTGCTCACCTTTCTGCTGGGAGGTCACCGGTGAAGGTTAGCTGTCTCCCAGTCAGGGCCAGGACCCGTCCTTTACTCTGGAATAGGTCTCTGTGTGTCTGTGTGTGTGAATCTTTTAAGTGAAGTGCTCATTGGAGATTGTCCAGGAGAGAAAGGCTGAGTGCATGCAAATGAGCTAGCACTCTGCTTGGCAGTGAGGTTTTAAGTTTCAGAACTTTGTGGTGACAGTTGCCTTGTATGCAGAGAAGTATGGGGGAGGGGGGCTCTCTAGGTGAAAGCCAGTGCCACAGGCTGTGGCATGAATGGAGCATGGCCCAGCAGCCTCATTGGCTTCCAGATGCGATCATTACATCAAAAGGGAAAGCTGGTGCCTGTGTAGATGTTGCTAACGGTATTGAGAGGACCTCATTCATTCCCTACTGGGTGCTTAGACGCCAAGTGTCCCGTTCAGCCATTATTCTCAGACCCGATTAACAGACTGACTTTCAAGGAACAATTATTGTGGGTTTCTAGGCTCAGGTAAATTCCACTGTAACTGCATGAACATCAGATATCTAGGGCTTGCAATTGTGGCATGACTATAATATCAAAACAAGGGCTGGGAAGATGGCTTCATGGTAGACTGTTTGCCAAGCATGCATGAAGCCCTGAGTTCAATTCCTCGGTACCACATACACAGAAAAACCTGGAAGTAGCACTGTGGCTTTTGTGGTAGAGCGCTAGCCTTGAGCAAACCAAGCTTAGGGACAGTGCCCAGGCCCTAGGTTCACGCCCCAGGACTGGCAAAAAAAAAAAATTAGAGGTAAACAAGCACAGTTCCAGGTTCACATAATGTTGGTGTGTCCTGATGTTTTAGTGAAACAGCGTTGCTCACAACACACCTACGGTCTGATCACAGGGCGGCTTTGCTGCACCTGAGACAACACCTGAGTGTTCATGGGTTTGGAGGTCCTTACGGTCAGCCTTCTTCCCTCCTGGGACTTGGCTTCCCCCAGCCCACCCTGAAGCCCTTGACCACTAGTTGATTACAAGGCACATTCACACCCAACTGTTCTGGACTCACCTCCTCCTGGCTGCCACAGAGGCCCGTGCCCACGCCCGAGTTTACTTCCTCCCAGCTGCTCCCCGGTCCTTGTGTGTGTGACACATCTCCCTTAGTGTCTGTGACCTGCCTTCACCACCAACACTTGAAAGTGGTTAGCCTCTTCTGTCTTCCTGACTTGAGAGACAGTTTCAGGTCAAAGAAGAAATGGCCTGCAGACAGTATATTTCACAATACGCCTTTCCTGTAAAATAGCAGCTGTGTTCACTTGTTTAACATGTATGTAAAATACCTGTTCCACTTAGGATCCCATTCACTTGGCCCAGTCTTCGGATGACATCTTAGTTACTGTCCTTGGGACCCTAGTTGTTTTGGGGTGTTGATTAGAACCTGTGGTGCTGGAGTAGGTAAATCAAGTGGGAGGAAGCGTGGGGGACATAAGCTGTGGTGGAAGTTCTCACCTCAGTGACTGTCCTCCATGGCAGAGATCCAGGAGAAGCGGCAGCCAGGAGGGAGGCTCCTGCAGAACAGGGGAGTGCTTTCCACTGTACTGGGAGACGACAGCCTTACCCTGAGCCTCTGGGCCTGGGCGCTGTCCCTCAGCTCTTCAGCTCAAGGCTAGCACTCTACCCCTTTAGTCACAGAGCCACTTTTGGCTTTTTCTGCTCATGTGGTGCTGAGGAATCGAACTCAGGGCCTCATGCATGTAAGGCAAGCACTCTACCACTGAGCCATCTACCCAGCTACCCTGAACCTACCTTTTCATTACTCTTTTGAAATTCAAGATCAGTAGAATTAAAAACTGGATTGTTTAGGTGTGTGGGTCCCCCATTCAATCCCAGAGAAGGAAGAAAAGAATTTGTTTTTCTATTTTCAAGTAGTCCTGCAGAGGGATTTCCGTTCACCATGGCTGTTTGTGAGTGCGGTGCATCTTGATGAGCATCACCACTTCATCCTTGCCCATCTCTCCCACCCTTCAGCTTGCCTGATTCCGCTTTCACACGTGAACATTGAATAGTATGGCTGTATTCATCTACCTTTAAGAGAGACCTTTTTAAACTTGTACAGCAAACTTTTATGGTACGCTCCTTATATTCATCTTTTCCTGGCTTTGGTTTTTCTCCTTCCTAACACTTCAGGTTTGAGTTCACACACAAAAAGCAGTCTGGCGGTGCGGGCCAGTTTGGGAAGGTGATAGGTGTGTTGGAGCCCCTGGACCCGGACGACTACACCAAGCTGGAGTTTGCCGATGAGACGTTCGGGGCGAACATTCCAAAGCAGTTTGTGCCTGCTATAGAAAAGGTAAATGTCTCCAGGCTTTCACAATTTTATCTGTTTAACACCAGCTTGTTACTTCCGATCACGTGGGCCTGATTCATTATGATAACAGCCTTGCATCTTTAGCTGCTGGGCTCTCCCTCTGACTTGGAGTCCTCGGCATGAAGTCATTAACTGAACACCTGCCCTGCGGTGGTGCTCTGCCAGCTTCCCCTCTGCCTCCTCATCCCGCACCCAGTCCCTCTGCCCCCTCGTCCCGCGCACCATCTCTCTTCAGCTTGTGGAAGCTGCTACCACTCAGTGTAGTCAGCATGTAAGATGTGCAGAGGTCTTCCAGGATTCATGGAAGTTTTTTTTGTCTTTGGGGTTTTTTTTGTTGTTTTGTTTTCCGGTTGTGGGGCTTGAACTCTGGGACTGGGTGCTGTTCCTACACTCTTCAGCTCAAAGCGAGCACTCTACCGCTTGAGCCACAGTACCATTCTGGTTTTCTAGTGGTTTTATTGGAGATAAGAGTCTCACAGAGGTTCCTGCCTGGCCTGGCTTTTGAGCCACTATCCTCAGATCTCAGCCTTCTGAGTAGCTAGGATTATAGGCATGAGCCACCGGCGCCCAGCTTCATGGAAGTTTTGTGTGTTCTATTTTTTTTCCTTCCGGTGATGCTGGGGCTGAATCCCAGGTCCTCACCCACACTTACACCCACGCCCTTTCAAGTGGACAGCAGATACACGTAATATCTCTGTGGGAATTGGAAAGTGCTTTGCAGACACATGGGGAGCTGATGCTTTCTTTGCTTTTCAGATCACTTGTTTTAAGGCCATTGTATTCCTTAAACAGTTCTTTTGTTCATATGGACTAAGGGGTTGGGTTATTTTGTTTTTTCACTGCTGGGGCTTGACCTCAGGGCCTCAAAATGTACTTGGCTTGATAGCTTAGCTGGTACTTTACCATGTGAGCCATGCCTCCACCCCAACTTTTCAGCTGGTTATTTTGGAGATGGAGTCTTAAGGGCCTTCCTACCTAGGTTGGCTTCTAACTGTGATCCTTTGAGTCTCAGCCTCATGAGGAGCTAAGATTACAGGCATGAGCCACCAGTCCCTGGCTTTTGCTTACTTTTTAACTTAAAAATCTTTCTGAATTGATTATAATTTTTTTTAATGGTGGTAGAATTTTTCGTGGTTGATGTACCCTATTCACTCTACTCTCATGGTAAGAAAATACTTGTGTTACCCACACTTAGATGGTCTGATTTCTCCAGCACACATCACTTACACTTCTGAAATGCCAGAAATACCATGGACTAGAGGTGCAGCTAGAATGGCTGAAAAAAAAAATTGCAACCCATCAAACTTACTCTAGATACGTGCGGCGTATGTATCTGTTACACCTCAGTAAAGCTGACGCCTCTTAGCTATAACTCCCTGACCCCGTGTTGCTCACCAGTGGCCAGCCAGGCAGAGCAGCCGCGCAGGCTGCTGTACAGGCACAGGTCTAGGTTGTCTTCCAGGTTGTGTGCCCATTGCCTCTGCAACGGGGCATGAGTGCTGGGCAACCCCTGAGGTTGAGGGGATGAGAAGGATCGCCGGCTTTTCTCAGTGTGCCTTTCCAGCCGGTTCCCTCCCGTGAGAGGGAGCTTTTCCAGGGACTGTGCCTCCCGATGCTGCTGTGGTAAAACTTGAGAGTGGTGAAGAGCTTCCTTTAAGGCTTTTCTAGAGATGAAGCATAGCACACATCACCCTGTCACACTGACCACCACGAGCTGCCTGGGTGTTGTGCATTCATCTGTAGTGAAATCCACTCGTGCCCACTTGTCTTCGTCATTGGCAGGGCTTTCTGGACGCCTGTGAGAAGGGCCCGCTTTCTGGTCACAAGCTCTCTGGGCTCCGGTTTGTTCTACAAGATGGAGCTCACCACATGGTTGACTCCAATGAGATCTCTTTCATCCGAGCTGGAGAAGGCGCTCTCAAACAAGGTGAGCTCGCCCTGCCCCCCATGCCAGATCATCAGCGCAGGCTCAGCAGCCAGGTAGGGTGATAGAAAACTAAGTGAATAAAGCTTAAGCCAACAAATTTGTTCGAGTCATCCTTTGACAGTTTTGTAATGAGTCAAGACCAGTCGACAAGGTGTACCTTTGGGAGAGAGGAAAAGAGTTTGAAGACCAGTCGACAAGGTGTACCTCTGGGAGAGAGGGAAAGAGTTTGGTTAATGACAACTTTTTTATCTTATCACAGCCTTGGCAAATACAACGTTGTGTGTTCTTGAGCCGATCATGTCTGTGGAAGTTATAGCCCCGAACGAATTCCAGGGACCGGTCATCGCAGGCATCAGCCGGCGGCACGGGGTGATCACAGGGCAGGATGGAGTGGAGGACAGTTTCACGGTGTATGCGGAGGTGAGGACAGTGCTCAGGGACAGCCCTGCAGAACTTCCAGACAAGGACACCCAGCTGTTGCTCCTGGAGATAGCAGGGCAAACAGATGCCTCTCCCTGTGGGATCTGTGGCTTCTACTTTGCTGTTAGAACAATTCTTAAGTGCAAAAGTTAAATATTAGATTCATTTTATTTGGTTCTTTTATGCATATGCCATTTTCTCAAGTGTGTTAGTTTCCGTTCTCATTTTAGCTTTACTTATACAGGGGCTTTATTACGTTAGCTCTGATTTATTTGGATAATGTCTAATGTCCTTTCTTGTCTTGACTCCTGTCTTGACTTACATCTCCTGAGGACAGAAGTGTGCTTCATGTCACCAGGCCTCCTACATGGAATAGCATGCCGGAGCCGAGGGGTCCTGCCGGGGGCTTCTGAGAGAGCACATGCCCCACCCACTTGCCCTGGGCTCAGCCCCTAGCACCATAAATAGGAACCAGTGCGAGTTTGCCTGGAAATCCTTGTGCATGTGGGGGCGTGGTGCCAGGGAGCAGGGGCAGGGATGTCAGTGGGGATGAGGAGGGGAGACAGTCCATCGGTGGTACGTGGTCTGCGAAGCCACAGCTTTCATTCCTTGTGTGTCTGCCCATTGGAGTGATGTCCACTTAACATAAAACAGATCTTTCTCTTTGGATTTTAGTTCTTTTAATCCAGGGTTCTTTAGAAATCGAAATCTCATGCAGTAAGCAACTTTTCAACACACCGTGCTATCCTATCTATTGTGTTTGTTTTCAGATCCCTCTCAATGAGATGTTTGGTTACTCCACTGAACTCAGGTCATGCACAGAGGTAAGTAGCTTTCATTTTGTTTTTCTTTCTTGTGCTGGGGCACTGGAGCTGGAAATCAGGACCTTCTGCTCTTGCATGGCTTTTTCACTCAAGACTGGCGCTCTGCCACTTGAGCCACAGCTCTGCTTCTGGCTTTTTTCTGGTTGAGTCTGTGGACATGAGTCTCACAGACTTTTCTGCCTGGTCTGGCTTTGAACCAAGATCCTCAGATGTCAGCCTCCTGAGTAGCTGGGCTGACATTACAGGCAGGAGCCACTGGTGCCCAGCTCATAAGCAGCGTTAATGTGAAGCTTAAACCTTGCTGCAATGCTGCAAACACCAGGCGCATTTGTGAAATCCTGACCCATAATTGACAGCTGAAAAATTTCTTTCCCTCCCTTTCTCCCCCCTCTCCTCCCTCCCTCTTCTTTCTCCTCCATCTCAGGGAAAGGGGGAGTACACCATGGAGTACTGCAAATACCAGCCGTGCTCAGCGTCCACTCAGGAGGACCTCGTTAACAAATACCTGGAAGCCACGGGGCAGCTTCCTGCGAAAAAAGGGAAAGCCAAGAACTGACCGCTCACTTCCTCCTGAGTAACTTTAATTGCTGAGACGGATCCCTGCAGCGAGAACTCAGGTTGCTGAGTCAAGTGTCTTCTGGCCCTTTCACCCCTTCAGGAACTTCCTACATGCAGAAATAAGCCTGTGCGTACCTCCGCTCTGCAGATGGTCAATAATTCATTGGAAAAGCTCAGGTGAAATGTGATTGTGGATCCCTGTGAAATGATTGAAATCATTTGCTCTCTAACAGAGGAAGAGGCTAACTCGAGTTACACTTGTCTGCATGGAGTGTGTTTAAACTCCCTTCACAAATTTATTTCTATCATGAGAATTTTGCACAGAGAGGAAAACTGCAAAAACAGTATACAGAGCAGACATGCTCAAGGTTTTGTTCCTAATTTGCTTCACTATGGAAGCATTGTTTTGCGTACGTAGGACATTCCATGGCATGTCATGAGTGGGCAGAGTTTTCAGTACTCTGTTGGGCTATGAAATACCAGCTGAGTCTCTGTGGCACACACGGCTGTGGCACTTCAGTGTGACTTCTGAGAACCTGGAGCTGCCTCCGAGGAGTGAAATGTCACCTGCAATCCCACGTGAAGTGTCAGAACAGATCCTCACCCATACTGTCCTTTTCTGTGTTCATCATTTCTGTGACCCTAAATAATAAAATGTAATTTAAATATCTGCTGGCCAGTCAGTTCATTCCCACGGTAAATGCTTGATTGTGTGTGTACCTGTTAGAATATATCATCTATTGTATTCATGGAGATTAGAACAAATGTCACGGCCTTTGGTTCTAGAACAGGTAGACATGCCCAGGCAGGCCATACTGTTCAAAACCACTTCATCTAAAAATTCCTCCATGTTCAACTAGGCGTGGTGGAGCACAACTTAAGACATAGGCAGGAGAGTACTTTAAGCATTGCCCACCTAATTTGAAGACATTTGCTACGTAGTTTGAGTGCATTGTTTAAGTCCCACAAGTCTGTGGGACCTAGTCTGTTTTACCTAGTTTGTATTAGAGGAAGCAAAGAGCCAGGTACTGGTGGCTCACATCTGTAACTAGCTACTCAGGAGGCTGAAATCAGGATTGTAGTTTGAAGCCAGCCAAGGCAAGAGGGTCTGTGAGACTCTTTATCTGTAGTTAACCACCAAAAAGCTGGAAGTGGAGCTGTAGCACAAGTGGTAGAAAGCTAGCCTTAAGCAAAAAAGCTCAGAGAGGGGGCTGGGAATGTGGCTCAGTGGTTGAGTGCTTGCCTTGCATGCATGAGGCCCTGGATTCGATTCCTCAGCACCACATAAGCAGAAAAAGCTGGGGGTGAGGCTGAGGCTTAAGTGGTAGGGCGCTAGTCTATAGCTGAAGAACTGAAGTACAGCGCCCAGGCCCAGAGTTCAGGCCCCACGACCCACAAAAAAAAAAGACTCAGAGGTAGTGCCCAGGCCCTGAGTTCAAGCCCCAGAACCAATTGGGGGGGTGGGGGAGGAAGCAAAGATACAATGAGGTAAACTTCTCCAATAGTGCACAGCTCCCTAAGTTTCAGGTGGGTGATTTGGTTACCGCTCTTCTCCATGAAAGCAGCAGATGGAGCTCTGGCATTTCATCCACACCATGTGACCTTCAGGATTACTTTCTGTTCCCGATGAGAAAACAGTTGTAGAATTTAGCACAGCCCCCTGGTTATTGCAAGTAGTCAAGAAAATGGGCAGATTTGGACAAGTTTTTAATTTGTTAACCACTCTGGTTGCAAGGTTATATAGTATCAGAAAAGATCCCAGCTCTGTAATCCATCCTAAGCAATGATCTGGCCCCCCTAAGCCACACAGTTCAAGTAGGATCATCAGGGACCAGAACCCACATGGCTTGCCACCTCAGGAGCTCAGTGATAGGTGTAGCGAAGTCTAGCCTTCCAAGGCAAGATTCCTTGTGTGTAGGGCAGTAACATGCCTGGTCCTGTCTACCATGGAGGTCACCTGGGAGCTCCACAAAGATGTAGCCAGGCCCAGCTGTAGTATGTGGCCTCTAAAACTTCTCCAGGCCAGTCCAATAAGCCTCAGTGTCATGGGCCACGGCAGTGTTAGTCGGACATAGTAGTATGTACATACCTGTAATCCCAGCTATCAGGAAGGTGGAAACAGGAGGATCATGCATTGGAGGCCAGTCTGGGCAAAGATAAACTTAACATGAGCTGCATGACCCTTTCTCCAAAGGTCTGGGAAGCAGCTTGGGTGGTAGAGCACTTGCATTGTGTGTGCACAGCTCTAGGTTCAGTGCTCTGCACTGCAAGAAACAGGGCAGTGCCGCTGAACATAGACCCAAGGCACAACAGGAAACAGCTTTTGCAGTTCACATAGGTCACAGCCTTGTGTGTGATTAATTAGACTTTGGGTTACTGGTTTGTGTAAAGAAATGCAAATCCCGTTCTGTTCATCCTTACCTCCCTACTCAAACATTGTATAACATGTGAAATCACTAAAAGAAATGGATTCTGAAGTTTGATTTTTCATCAGAGTTGAAGGGTTCCAGCCATTGGTGATTCTTAAATTGGAAAGCCACCAGGAACGAGTAAGTTGTGATGTGTTGGAATGCATCCTTTTGTAGAAGATAACCATTTGCATTGCTTACTGTAAATGTTGATTTCTGCAAAGCAGGGCACTGGTGGCTCATGCCTATAATCTTAGCTACTCAGGAGGCTGAGTTCTGAGGATAGCCAGCCCAGGCAGGAAAGTCTTCTCTTAACCACCAGAAAGCCAGAAGTGGAGCTGTGGATCTAGTGGATCTATTACCAGCCTTGAGTGGAAAGATCTCAGGGACAGCACCAAGGCCCTGAGTTCAAGCCTCAATACTGGCTCAAGCAAGCATTTTGCCAGCCCTGAATACTTTTTAATGAACCTGTTTTAACTTCTGTTTAAAAATCAGGTAGTAAATATGCAAATGATGATTTGAATAAAATGCAATGCAGACAAAACTCTGGTTCTGCTTTTTTCTTAAAATTCTGCAAGTCCTGAAGAGATTGAACAAATGAATGTGGCACTGCATGCACCACAGGTCAACTGACATGATTCTGGAGAGGTTAAGCCCTGTTTGTGCTTGCAAAGATAACAGAGCCGGGAGAAGGAGCCTTGCTGGGCTAGCTTCTGTGGGGCTGTCCATCCCACTTCTGCTCCAGGGCCAAAAGAAGCTTCTGCGCTGGATGGTGGCCCGGCCAAGGCCCTGCTCTGGGCTGAACAGTAGCTCCTGAGAGCAAGGCCTTGGGGACTGCTGAGCCACACAGAACGATGAAACATCTCAGAACACAGTGTGCAGAAGAACGTGCTCAGAATCTATTTTTAAAGATCACGCAGTGAACTTCAGATAAGGAGTCTATCTCTGGCCTTCAGTTTGATCCAGTTACTCACCGCAGATTGTTGCTTTGATGCTTTAGAGAACTTTCTCTCAACTTCCACGCAGGTGAAGAGCTGACTTTTCCTTTGTGACTGCATGGATGTTGGGAAGATAAATGCAAATTGAAGGTTTTAATTATTTTTGTTGTTGTTGGTCATGGGGCTTGAGCTCGGTCTGGGCACTGTCCCTGCGCTCTTCAGCTCAAGACAAGTGCTCTACCACTTGAGCCACAACACCACTTCTGGTTTTCTAGTGATTTATTGGAGGCAGGAGTCTCAAGGACTTTCCTGCCCAGGCTAGCTTTGGACCGTGATCCTCAGATCTCAGCCTCTTGAGTAGCTAGGATGAAAGGCATGAGCCACCAGCACCCAGCTATTAATTTTTTTAAAAATATACCATTAACTTGCGTGCTGGTGGCTCACACCCATAATCTAGCTACTCCTTAGGAGGCTGAGATCTGAGGATCAAAATTCAAAGCCAGCTGGGGCTGGAAAGTCTGTGAGACCCATCTCCAGTTAACCACCAGAAAACCAAAAGTGGGGCTGTGGCTCAAGGGTAGAGCATTAGTCTTGAGCAAAATTGCTCAGGGACAGTGCCCAAACCTTATTTATATTACATATTATAGTGTTTTATATTTATATATACTGTTATAGTTTGTTAAGTGTCTATGTCTAAAAAGTATTTCTTTAAACTTTTCCTGCTAACAATACAGGTTAAAAAATACATATTAAAAAATACCCCACTTAAGATAATTGACAAGATTTTTTTTTTCCAATTGGGTGGTAACCCTGGATCTTGTCCTCTTGGCTTGGCTTTCTTGCTCACAACTAGTGCTCTACCATTTGAGCCACACGCCAGTCTGTCGTTTTGCTGCTAACTTGGAGATAAAGTCTCAGACTCTTCTGCCCAGTCTGGCTTTAAACATCAATCTCCCAAGTCCCAGCCTCCTGAGTAGCTCGATTACAGGTATGACCTGTTGGCCCTGGCTTGGCTCAAGACAGTTTGACTTGACAACGGTGATAAGTCATCAGGAGAAACTGTACTTATCCACTAGCGGTGTGCAATGTGATACTTGCTGGGAAGTTGGACAGAAGCACAAGACAGGTAAGGCACGTAAACAGCCAGGTCAGCGGGGTGGGGCACATTGTGCCACAGGAACATTTGCAGCCCAGAGCACAAGGCCCAGCACCCCGTCAAAATGTGTCTGCACTTAGCTGAATTTTAAAGTTAGTGCTCCTAATCAATTACTGGCCAGGGAGCCTAGCCAAAGGATTTGAGTGTTCCATTAAATTATAATAATGTCAAGAGTCAAGTGCTGGCAACATTTCCTGGCTGGCTCCTGCCTGGAGTTCTCACAGGATTTGATTAAGGCACCTTACATTTGCTTTCATAATTTACTCAGGCCAAACACCGGATCCTAGTTGTCCTTATATACCATTAAAAATTGTGGAAATATGGTGCACTTTGATCCAGGCGTGTCTTCACCCCCTACCTGGGGGCACCCCATAAGATTTGAAGCAAGCAGTAGACACTTAATTCCAATCACACATCTCACCCACCCACGCATGTAATTCTCCACAAATACATTTCTTATTTAGAAACGTTTATTTTAAAGTAGGTATCAATTTTAAAAGGAACACTTGCTAAAGCAATGAAATACAGTAAAAACTTCTTAAATACTGTTTAAGTGGGGCTTGAACTCAGGGCCTGGGCGTTGTCCCTGAGCTCTCTGCTCAAGGCTAGTGCTCTACCACTTGGAGCCACAGCCCCACTTCCAGTTTTCTGGTGGTTAATTGGAGATGAGAGTCTCCCTGCTCAGCCTCCTGGGTAGCTAGGATACAGGGGTGAGCCTCTAGATCCTAGCTTGGAGATAGATATACTGAGCAATTTAGCAACCTAAAGCCAGTACGATCTTTAAAATAATGAGAAGCTCAGAGGTGAAGCCACTTTGAAAACTACATGCTGGCTGGCTAGACTCTGCATGTTGACTCTGAACTCCAAGGGCCGTGCTGACCACTGGTTTACTCAGAGACCGGCAGAGGCTGGGACACTGCCCGGTGGCAGCCAGAAGCCGACCAGCGACTGCCCATCACGTGTTTCCTCAACCACAGACTGCTAGCCCATAGCTCCTATACTGACGAGTTACACTGCTAGAGTTGTCCTAGACAGAATCCAGTAGAAGCAGGCCATTTTGTAATCTTTAGAGATGAATCAGTTCTGTCGGTGCCACAGCCGATCCCTCCACAGTTCCAGACGCTTCTTCTGGGGTCTGGAGCTCCTGACATTGGTACTTAACTTTCAGTGGCTTGCCTGGGTACCAGATTAAACGAATGCGACAGGGCAGGATTTCCTAGCAAAGAAAGATCTCGGTGTTACAACCCACACAATCTGTAAGGGAGGAACAGTTCCACAAACCACGCTGTACATTACCTGTGTCGGGAATTCATGAAGTAGAACGGTATAATCAAAATCAACGGCGTCACCACTCATTTTCTGGAGCAAGGAAACAAGCATTAGGACCACAGATGCAGGGGGGTGTGGTGGCTGGGAGCTGGGGTCCTGATGACAGACTTCAGACAGCACAGAAGCCCTGTGGCTGCTGCTTCCCCATCAAGACAAAGTCATAGATTCTTATTTTGGTTTCATCGCTGAGTTATATGTGGAAATCTGGCTAAAAGTCTTCAGCACTTCATGGTATTTCTAGGGGTGTCGGAAGCCAGAGGGGATAAAGGAGTGCCTTCACATCCTCCAAGACCTGGTTACTTCGTGAACACTTCAGGCTGTCCCTGAGCACCTCGGACCAGACCAGCTCACGCCTGTCCTCCTAGCTCCTCAGGAGGCTGACATCTGAAGATCTTGGTTCAACGCCAGCCCAGGCAGGAAAGACCTTGAAACGCTAATCTCTACCAAAAAACCAGAGGTGAAGATGTGGCACTAGTAGTAGAGTACCATCCTTGAGTGAAAAAGCTAAGGGTTGATGCGCAGGCCCTGAGTTCAAGCCCCAGGACCAGCACAAGAAAATAAAGGATCCAAGAAAAGGCAGGATGAGGGCTAGGTGCCTGTACCTGGGTGTGCTTCTCCTGTTGTGTGGTATGGAGATCATGAGCCTGGTTTACCTGCAGGGCAGGTAAGGTTACAGCTAGAGAGAGACGATCAAGGCTCACCCAGACCTAACTCCACACCCTTTCCTTCATGGGTGCCACACCAAGCCACGCCACACAGATTTGAACACTACATCTATGTCTGTCATCGTACTCATCTTTTGTTTACTTGATTTCTATCCATTTTGTTCCTACCTTAAACCAAGTTCCCATTGCGGTTTTTCTCTTTCCTGTATTTTCTGTCAAGGGTGCTTTTGTTAATTCTTTATGTCCTGCAGTGCTGGGGGCGTGACTGAGGGTCTGATGCAGAGGCTCTGTGTTGTAACATCCCCCTCCCCCCCCCACACACAGTGTCCCCTCCCCCTTTGCTGCTATATCAACTTGAGCCTTTCTCAGATCCATACCTCACCCCTGAGCATCTATTCCCAGCTATCAGAATCCACACTCTCCACTGGCATCCTGGCCCAGTCTGCCTGCACTTCCTGTCCTGCTGCCTACACCTCCTGTCCTGGGCCTGCACTTCCTGTCCTGCATCCCCTATAGCTTAGTAGTCCACAAGGCAGCCACAGTGACCTTGTAAGAGCCCTGGAGAAGGTTAAAAAACGAGCCCCTCCTAGCCGGATCCCCTCTGGGTCCTCCGGTGTCTCTCATCGGACAGGCTCAGCTGCTCAGCCTTTCTCCAATTATCCCATGGTTGCCTCCATCTCCTCTGTGAAATTCCCTTCCCGAGGGGGCCAGGGCCACCTACCAGCCATGACCCTGGTTTTTCCCGAGATTAGCCTGAGACTACAAGAGTGTCATTCTACCAGGACCCATGTTCCCTTCTCCCTGCTTCATTTTTCTCCATTGGGGTGCCACCATTGATACGTGTGTGTGTGTGTGTGTGTGTGTGTGTGTGTGTGTGTGTGTGTGTACTGGCACTTGAACTCAGAACCTTGTGCTCTCACTTGGCTTTTCCATTCAGGGCTGGCACTCTACCACCTGAGTCACACCCAGGTATGGCTAATTGGAGATAAAAGTCTCTCACAGTTTTTCCCTGGCTCCTCAGAACTGTGATCCTCAGATCTCAGCCTCCTGAGTAGCTAGGATTACAGGTGTGAGCCACTAGCACTCAGCTTTCATTGCCTTTCTTCTTCCTTGAGAATTACTGTCAGTGAAGGCAGCAAACTGTGTTTCATTCACCGTTGCATCCTGTCCTGAATTGACGCCTGCCTGGTACTGCAGGCACTGGAGCTAGGAAGGCCATTGCTTCCTAACCAGGGCCCTGGTTGGTGTTTGGATTCTTACCCACTGGTTCACGCTCCTGAGCTGGGCCAAGTAGTACTGTGAAAACTGGGTTGTCTTTTCCCACATCACATAAGAGCTGCCAAGAAAGGCCAAGTCCCAGAGGGGTCGCAGCGATGCCTCAATTCTCCCGTGACTGTCTGAGAATGAGAAAACAAAGCACATTGTTACCAAGGCACGCTTTCAGACAACAGCTCATTAGTTATAGCTGGAGGCATGGTTCGTCAGTAAAGCATCTGTCTAGTAAGTATGAGGCCCCAAGTTCAAACCCCACTACCATCAAGATTTCAGAAGCTTTGGTGATGAAGTGTGACATGGAACCAGATGAGACCATCTCTCCTGAAGCAAGGCTGTGACTCAGATCTGTTTCTGTGTAAGAAGTGAGACCGCAGGCTTCTGCTTGTCTCTTAGTAAACCTGTTGTCCAGTGATTCGCTGGCTGCGCATGATGTTTACTTCTGTGAGACACATCATTAATGAGGTTGCTCTTCACAGGCCCCACGGGTCAGGCAGGAATCAGGGTGCACAGCATTACTTCTGGGTGTCCGGTGCTGTCCTTCCCCACCAGTGCATGGGCGTCAGCCCCCTCACCAACAGGAAATGGGATGGGGTTTTCCTATGGCATTGATTTTGATCTGCTGTCTTTTTTAAATCAGCAAACAGGGTCTCACTTCCTGCCCAGATGTTTGCTTGACCCACCCCCTACCTCCCATTGTGGGGCTTGAACTCTGGGCCTGGGCACTGTCCCTTAGCTCTTCAGCTCAAGGCGAGCACTCTACTATTGAGCCACAGCATCACTTCTGCTTTTCTAATGGTTTATTGGAGTCTCACAGATGTTCCTGCCCTGGGCTGGCTCTGAACCATGATCCTCAGATCTCAGCTTCCTGAGTAGCTAGGATTATAGGTGTGAGCTACCGGTGCCTGGAGTATGCTTGGATTTTGATCCGCCTGTTTTAGGCTTCCTATCATAGCTGAGATAACAGGTGCACACTTGGTGTCCTGAGGACTTTTCTGTCCAGACTGGCTTAGAGTTGTGATTTCAGCCACCCGAGTAGCTAGGATTCCAGGCATGAGCTGCCCATGCCCCGAAAAACTAAATCTTTTTAACTGAATAGTCTTGACTACAGAGACAGCCTGTCAGTCGAAGCCCTGGGTGTCTGCTGAATTCCCAGTGAGAACAGAACAGTACGTTCTGGCAATGAAAAAAGACTTGGTGAAGTGTCTTGGTAGCCAGATTAACTTCGACTGTTTACAGACAGCTCCGAGAGGGCCTGGCACTCATGAACGCAGCAAGTTCTCCAGCCTCTACTGAAAAGGGTCCAAAACCTACCCATCTTGTAGCAAATATTTATAGAGAAAAGGCCCCGTGGGGTTCTAAATTGGTGCCTTGCAGAGAATGGTGCCCTATTTCCCGAATGAAAGGGGGGAAAGGCCCCCGATAGCCACAGATCGCCGAGCCCACTTGGGGCTCAGAATAAACAGGGTCTGCGTGGTGTGAGGCTGAGAATCGCTTCCCTTCATTCCTTGGCACCGATCTGAGTTGTCAGAGAACTATTAGGGTGAGAGCTAGCCAAGGCTCTGGACCTCAAAAATTCAAAGAGCAGCCTTCAACCTCTAGGCTTTTGAGAACATTCTGTCAGTGTCCATAAGTCGGGGAGCAGAGAGCGGGAGCCCCCCCGCCCCATGTGGACGTGGGTTAGTTGGGGTCTTGGGGGGTCTGGGCACATGAGGGAAGAGAGCGGCTGGGGCGGGGTGGGACTGAGTGCTGCTGTTGTCAGATGTCAGGCTTCATCCCAGCACCAGTCCTCAGATGACTTCTGTGGTTTTGGAAATTGGATTTGCCAGTAAGTGCCGAGCCGGCACTGCCGCCCGGGCAGGACTGTGCGTGGAGACAAATGAGCTCTGCCTGGAGCAGGCTGCCTCTCGGCAGAGGGCAGGGCCGGTCTATGAGAGCTGGCACCATGCTCCATTAGCCACTGGCCCCAAATGAAATCAACAGGCCCCAGGCATAGCCCCAGGCAGGGGGCTGACCCCCCCACCCACCCCAGCACTGCCCTGGAGGCATCTTGTCTCCGTGCAAGGCCCTCACCAGGGGCTCTAGAAACTGCCATCCCCTGCATGCATGCCCACTCGAGTGGGGAGGCTTGGCTCTCCTGTGCCCCCCTTCTCCAGGGGGGATGGGGGGAGGGGGATGGAGAGGCAGGGACAGCTGCCACTGGAGTCCTGTGGTACCACAGATGCAGGGTGGGAAAAGGGACCTCGGTGCTCTGTTTAACGATCCCTTGCAGTTTTGGAGGCGCTGGGTTTGAACCCAGGGCCTTGTCCCTGGCAGTGTGCCTCTTATGCCAGGCTCCCAGCGTGGCTGGCTATTGTTATGTTTGGGACGGCCTCTCCGGTGTATCTGGGCTCACAACCACTCTGCTCTTCATACTTGCACTTCCCAGGGAGCTGCACACACCTAGTGTGCTCCCCGCATCCAGTGTGCGCCCCACATATACTACGTACCCCCTGCATCTAGTGTGTACCCCACATACAGTGTGCTCCCTGCATCTAGTGTGTACACAGAGTGTGCTCCCTGTATCTAGCATGCTCCCCTATCTAGTGTGCACCCCTCATACAATGTGCCCCCCACATCTGGGGTTGCACCCTGCAGCTAGCGTGCTCCTCGTGTCTAGTGTACACCGTGCATCTAGTGAGTTCCCTGTATCTAGTGTGCTCCCCGCATCCAGTGTGTACCCCACATTAACTGTGCACCCCGTATCTCACTTTCTAGTGGATGAGATGCGGTGGTGAGTTGTGTTCATCAGGGTGGCCTCAAACCACAGTCCTCCCAATCTCAGCTCCCCAAGCAGCTGGGAAGACAGGCGTGAGCCCCGGCACCAGGCTAGCACCATTTGAAGAGTTGGAAATACATCCCCGGTGCAGGCGTCCCAGCCTCATACGCACCAGGCAGGCTGCCGCGGAAGGGGCTCTGCAGCTGCTTCAGCTGCGTGTAGAGCCGGTAGTCCTCCTGCCGCCGTTGCTCCTTCCCCAAGAGCCGCGTGCAGGTCACATTGACGGCTGGTCTGGGTTTCTGGTTCTTGAAAAACACTTGAGCTGAGCATTTCCCCAAATGATCTTCACCTGCCTGAAATAAAACAGCTTGGAATTAAGCAGGAAAGCACTTTATCTGCTCTGCCCAGCTACACACACACACACACACACACACACACATGCACGCATGCACACACGCACGCACGCACATGCGCACACAGACACACACCCTCATGCGCACACGATTGCATGAAGGCCGTTCCCTGCGCGTGGCCCCTGCCCTGGTGCCCGGCTGTGGCTTTGCGTTGCAGAGCGTGGCTGTGGCATCTGAGCTGGATACCCGCGACCTCCACACTCATCGTGTTCCCTGGTGCTCAGCTCAGAAAGCTGGGCCTGAGGCCCCCGCCCAGCAGGGCTGGGAGTGGGCTTGCTCCTCTGTGGGCCCTCGATGTGGGGCTTCCGACTCACAAACTCCAAGAGGGAGCTGGGATTGTGATAGCTGAGGAGCCCCCTCCTCCCGGTCCAGCTCTAAGGCCTGAGGTGGGGACATTAGGACACCGCGCTGTCCCCAAGGCTCGCAAGCTAGGGCTTGAGTACTTTCTGCTGAGCACAACTACTAAGTCCACAGTACCTTCCCTCCCAGTGGCTGCCTAGATGGATGGATGAATGCGGCCTGGCCAGGCCCGCTCTACTTCCAGTGTGGAATCATGGGACCCCTCAGCACACCATACTGTGAGTTACCTCCAGGACAGTGGCTGTCCACCACGTGTCCCACATTCCTAGACTTAAAACCCAGGCCTGAAGAAAGGCATTCCCCCAAGCCACCAATGTGGGCCCAGAATGGGAAGGTCAAGGCCACTGGTCTGGCCCTACCTGCCCAAACCCAGCCCTGGGCTCCTTATCAGGATCCCCTAGTGAAATGTGATTGGTTAGCCAGGCACGGGTGGTTCAAGCCTGTAATCCTAGTTATGGTTCAAAGCCAGCCCAGGCAGGAAAGTTCTACCATTCTTATAGCCAATAAATTACTCTCCTCTCACCCCAGACACACACAAAAAGAAATGGAGCTCTGGCTCAAGTGGTAGAGGCTTTTTTCCTTGAGCAAAAAGAAGCCCAGAGACATCACCCAAGCCCTGAGTTCAAGTCTAGTACCCAAAATAAATAAATAAATGCAGTTGGTTAACAATAAAGGAAATGTGATATGTGTGTGTGTGCGTGTATGAATGGAGTATTACTCAGCCACAAAAAAGAATGAAACTCTGAGATTATCATGTTGATGGAGACAAAACAAGCTCAGAAGGACAAACACTAAACGTTTTCTCTCATTTGTGGGGCGCAGACTAGTAACCAAGTCATTACGTATGCATTTAATGACAGGAATAAAGGGAAGACTGAGGGAAGAAAGGAATGAGAGGGAGAGGCAGGGAGGGGAAAGGTGGTGAGTGAACATGATTGAAATACATTATACATATGTATGAGCATTGTCTGGGGGAAGGAGAATCAGAAAGATTAATAGAAGGAGTGAATTTGATCAAAGTATATCATACACAAGTATGGAAATGCCTCAATGAAATACTTTTGTACAATTAATATGGGCTGATTAAGTCTTTTAAAAACCATAATAATGCGGTTGAATTGTCGTTTCAATGGGATGGTGTCACAGCTTAACAGCTGCCAGATGGTAAAAGAAACAACCCACAGAGAAACAAATAGTCATCAAGGTTGAATGACTTAATACGCTCACATGAAGGATTCACTGAAAAGGCTCAAAGACCTGGCTTTTCAGTGGGCACTTTCTCCCTGCGATGTGTTTTGGATGGGAGGGAACTTCTGGGGTGCATTAGGGGGCGACAGCCTAGGTGGGGTGAGGCAGTCTGCAGGCATCACAGATCTTGTTCTGCCTCCACTGAAATCAGCCAGCCCTCAGCAAGAGAAGAAAGAGCCAGCGATTGTGTCACCCCATTTTGCTCCCCCAAATACCTCCTGTCAAAGCAGCTTTGAAGGTGAAAGAAACATCCTTCATCTCCAGAAAGTCCTTTAAGAAAGTTTTAATTCTTGGGGGTATTAAAGAGTCATACTAGGCGCCTGGTGGCACATCCTTGCAATCCTAGCTACTCTGGAGGCTGAGATCGGAGGATCACAGTTCAAGATCAGCCCAAGCAGAACAATCCCCAAGACTCTCATCTCCAACTAACCAGCTAAAAGCTGGAAGTAGAGGGGTGGTACAAGTGGTACAGTGCCTGTCTTGAGTGAAAAAGCTAGCATAAAGCTCTGTGTTCCAGCCCCAGGACCAGCACAAACACAAACAAAAGCAACAAAAGACAGCAGAGTCCGACAGCACTGCTGGCTGTGTGGACCTTGCTTCCCAGCTCCGGGACTGTCCTCCAGGAGGCCTGGGCTTAACAGTCACGCTATGCCCTTGGGGTCCTTCCTCTGTGAGACCCTCCCATCCCAGCCCTGCTTTTGCCCTGTACCACCCCCACCCCAAGCTCCTTGGACCACCGGAAAACACAGGCCGGGCCCACTCGTGCTAGGCCCGGCCTGCACACAGTTCATCTGCCCTCACTTCCAGAGTTTCTGTTTACTTTCTTCTTGAAAACATCATTAGAGGCATCCTGGCAAAGCCTAGGTGACTTGGCGGACGCAGTACAAGACCAAGTGCCCTAGGCAGGTGCCACTGCCTGGTTTGCTCGCCCTCAGGGGCCTGCAAACCTGAAATGGCAGCCGGCGACAAGAATAAGCGCACGATGGCATTTGAGAGTGAGTCACTGTGACTGGTAGGGACGGCAAAGGCACTGTGACATTCTCTCCCAGGACCCTGGAGGAGGAGGTGACACTGGGTAGGTGGCTCTCAGGCAGCCATGGAAGGCCACGCATCTCACTCTCCAGCCCCGCTCCGCTCTGCGGCTCTTGAAATGAAACCGGAAACCCAGCAGAAAAGAAAGAAGCTCGGAGCAAAGCCTGCGGTGCGGGTAACTCACTGTGCAGACTGCGCATAATCACGGCTCACCTCCAGGTTGTAGCTCTCTGTGCTGAATACCAGCTCAACCTTACAGCCTTTTTGGGGGTCCACCTGAAATACAGAAACCAAATCTTAGCAGTGTAGAGGCCCTGTGAACAGAGGCCCTCTTGGGAAAGCATGCACACGGCAGTCACGGCACGTATACCTGAATAAATTCGGTACCCGGGCACGTTCAGGACTCGGAGAGCTCAGATTTGGTCTGAGCATGCCTTTGTGGTCGCTGGCCTGACATTTACTCACTGGGGGGTGGGGGTGGGGTGCTGTACCGAGGGAGGAGGCAAAATGTCTTTGTCTATGTCTATGTCCAGGCCTCTCCAGGGCCCAACCTGGATGCCTGGCACATTCTTAAGCAAAGCAGGCTCGTCCATGTGCCTTCTTTGCTCCAATGGGAAAGAGATGGCGTACGCACGGCGTGTGCAGGGGCGGTGAGTGAAAAGGGAAAAGCATGGTGGACCCAGGCAGTGGCCAGGATGAGGTGACCTCTAAGCTGAGTTCTCAAGGTCAGTGTGGAAGCACCTGGATCTGGGGGTGGGGACAAAGACTAAGGAGGCACACAAGGCAGACGCAGGGTAGAACGGGCAGCTGGATCTTTGGTCTGTGGGAAGATGACAACACTGAAGTGCACACGTTATGGGCTCTGCTAGAACTTGAATCTGTGTGTGTGTGTGTGTCTGTCTGTCTGTCTGTACTGGGGCTTAAACTCAGAGCCTGGGCACAGACCCTCAGTTTATATGCACAAAGCTGGTGTTCTACCACTTGAATCATGCCTTCTGCCCAGCTTTCTTCTTGTTGGTTGATTGGGCCAGAGGTGGTGTTGGCTTTTTTGTCTAGGCTGGCTCCAAGCTCAAGCCTTCATCTCCAGGGCTCAGTCTCCTCAATGAGCTAGGATTACAGGTTGATTCAGTCAGCTCCTGGCAGCTCCTATTTTTCAAATCAGGGTTTTCATTTATTTCTGAACCAGCCTGGACTGTAATCTTCCTATTTAAGCTTCTCACTTAACTTGGATGATAGGTGTATGCTGTCACAGCCAATGTTTTTTTTTAAAATTGGTTGCGATGAGATAGCAAAAGCTTTTTGCTTTGAACCTCAATCCCCCTGAACAGCTAGGATTAAAGGCATGAGCCACTGCACCCCACTGAACACTTCAACTACTTAGGAAAACTTTGTATTATTTGCCATATTTTAAGACAGTAAAATAATCATTCAGTAGAAAGGAGTAGAAGGAACTTTGGGTGCACGAAGCTGAGGTTATTTCATACCATCTTGATTAAATTAGACTCTATAAACATCAGCTTCCTTTGAGTTTTGGCCTAGGGACACAGAATTAAACAGGGTTATGTTATTTTAAATAGATCAGATATTACCCAATCCTAGTACAGAAACTGGAGAGGGTGAACTGGATTCAGAAGCTTGTTTATGCAGCGAATGTCCACACTCATAAACACACACGAGTAAATATACAGATGCTCTGGGAGCCGGGAGCTCGGGAGCACTGCATGCATGAGTCACGCTTAGTCTTCTGACGTCTACTGGCATCAGCTGATGCTCCGCTTTGTTTACCAAATGCACACGCGCACACTAGTCCCTCCTCATCCCCTCCTCTGCCCGGCACTGGGAGATACTGGGAGATACAAGGAAACTGAACAAACATCTTTCCAGATGTTTCCTGCTCCTAGTGTGGAAACAAGTTGTCTGTGTGAGCCAGTTTGAAGTGTGGGGTGTAGGACCCCAGGACAATGGTGAAGATGGAGAGAGGGTGGTCTGGAAAGCTGGGGTGCTGCTGGTGCAGATCCTGGAAAGCCTCAGTTGGCAGGGGGCTGGCTTACGATTTGAACTCCGGTCCTTACACTTGCTAGGCAGGCAATCTGCCCTCCAGCCACACCTCTGCGCTTTCTGTCTTTGTCATTGCTTGGTAAAGATCTTGCACAGATGCCAGGCCTGGCCCGGATGGCACTCTCCCTGTTTATGCGTCCCATGACTGTGGATGACAGGCCTCCATGCTCAGCGAGTTACTGGTTGAGATGGCGCCAGGTGAGCTTTTTTGCCCAGGTTGGTCTTACTGCCACAATGGGTCCATATGTCTGCAGCAGGAAGTTGAAGCCACGTGCTCTGAGTTTGTATCTTACTGTCCGCTAAGAGCTGTGTGTTCTAACACACAAAGCTATTACAAGTGAATGGAGCCAAGAATTTTGCCTCCAGGATGCGTCTGAACTCTCTTTCCATTCGACACTACCATGTATATTGGGTAGAATCATTGAAATACAAGGTGCCTTAAACCCAAGGAGCTGAGATGAAAGACAGAGAATAGATATTTACTTATTCTCAGAGCACATTGTTCAAACAGGTCTCCCTTTCAGCTGACTCCAAACGAGACCTTGGACGCTGTCTGGGAGAAAGCTGGCTGAGCTGTCCTCATGAAGCCACAAACCACCACTGGCTGCATAAAGGACCACAAAGTGCATGTATGGGAAGGAGGCTCTGCCCCCCCTCCCCCTTTGCTATTTGGGAACCTCTGGTCTGCTACTCAGGCTCCTCCCCACGTGACTTGGTATTTGATAGGAAAATATAAATGGCACACTGTTCCAGGAAAAGCAAGTGCTTCGTTTTTAAGGTTACTTTGATGACTCAGGCTTTGTTGGCCGCAACTCATTTGCAAATAAAAATTGCTGGCTGTTCTGATGCTCTCCACAGGAGAGTGCCACAGGGTATCGCATTAGACCCTGAGATGATCCTATTGAACATTCCTTCTTTCAGGCCAGACAAAGCAAATAGTTTCTGTGAAAATCAAAACAGAACGAGCCAGAAATCAGCTAGTTCTGGTGAGGTCTAACAATGGAGGCCAAGGAGGGAAGTGGACACGGCCATGTTGTGTTCATGGTGGAGAAGGTGATGGGTACTGTGTGTGAACCTCTGTTCAGCCAAGTCTGGGCATGAATTCTTGACCTTAGGACGCCAGAGGGACAAGGACCAGGGCAGTTCTGTGCTGGGAATGAGGAGGAAGAAAAGGCCAGGTGTAAGGAGACTTGGCCCATTGGTCTTCTATCCTGCTGGAAGGGCAGGGAATGGCTTCTGCTCTAAATGTCCCAGTGGAAGTGACTCTTCCACTCGCTGCATTTTATTAAACAAATATTGAGAACTTGGCCTTAAATTGGGCACCTGTGGCTCACACCTATAATCCCAGCTACTCAGAAGGCTGACATCTGCAGATCACGGTTCGAAGCTAGCTAGAGCAAGAAAGTTCAGGAGACTCAATCTTCAACTTAACTGGCAAAAAGCCAGAAGTGGAGCTGTGGCCCAAGTGGCTGCGCCTAAAAGCCTGAGGCCTTGAGCTTCAAGGGTTCAAGCCCCAGGACCAGTATAAAACCAAACAAGCGTGCCCCTAGCAGTGCCCTTGGCTAGTACAGCAAAGAGGTGAGTTGTGATGTCTTGCACCCTGGGAGAGGCTGCCAGAGGCTGGGCAGAGCAGCCCAGGTGGGAGCAGATGACAGGTAAGTAGGGGTGCAGGACACAGGCACCAGTGAGATGCGAGAGGAGACAGCGTGGCCGTGTTCTGTGCTGGGCCAGTGGCTGGGGAGGGGGTGGTGAGCACCCCTGGATTCCGCACTGCCCAGGGCTTCTGCCAGTCATGCGGGGACGGTGGACACCCCCCACCCCATGCCACTAGGCGGGGATCGCGGGAGGAGGCCCCGTTCCAAGGGTGCCTGTCCATCCAGCCCTGAAGCTACAGGCTGGCTTGGGAGCAGGGAGGTTGGCCTCGAACCTGTGGTGCCGCAACCGGCAGAAGCTGGGAGGCTGAGAATGCAGGGGAAGCCCGTCCCGAACTGGGACCCCCGCTCGCTCGGTAGCAGACGCACGCATGCGGGGTGGGAACCACCCCCCCACCGTCTGCAGCATGCGTGGTGGGAACCGGGCCCCGTCTGCAGCGAGGGGAAGGAAGGCAGATCTGTGGGAGGACTGGCCGCCCTCACGTCACCATCTAGCTGGACCTGTGCCCGGGCGTTGCCCTGGACGTGGCCGCACACATCTGGTCCGAAGCAGCGGCATCACGATCTCTTTTAGACCCGACTTTCCTGCCGGGCAGCCGCATGGGGAGGCCGAGCGCGCCCGCCCCCTCGAGCACCTTCCTCCCATGCCGCCTCCTGACCTCGCTCCCCGTGCGCACAAGCCCCGCCGGCCTCCGGCCTCGCTGCGCTGCGCTCCTGTTCCGTCCCGAGGAAAACGGAGGAGAGCCGGCCTCTTATGCGCCACTGTCCACCACGGATAATGGACGCCGCAGGGTGCGCGCTGTGCGCGGGTCCAGTAAGCACGCTGGGCACTCAGGCGCACCAGCGTTGAGCGCTGGATGTCCTTGAACCCGTCGCTCCAGGGGGAGGCGCCGCATAGAGCGTGGCCCGTGCGCCCCGCGCACCCCAAACCTCCCAGGCTCCGACTGCGGCTCCGGGCCTGGCAATGGAGAAGAGCGGGGCCAGGCCAGAGGAAAGAGGGCGCCGCCGGGGGCAGCAAACCTCCAAACCCGAGGGCAAGCCGCGCAGACCCGGCCCAGCTCCGGGGCCGGCTTCCCGCGCTACCCGGCCCGCGCCCGCCCGAGGCAGCCCGCAGCTCTCAGGCGGAGTCTTAAATCTCATTTGATTCACTGCTTTCTTTCTTTCTTTCTTTCTTTCTTTCTTTCTTTCTTTCTTTCTTTCTTTCTCTCTTTCTTCCTTCCCTTCTTTCTTTCTTCCTTCCTTCCTCTCTCTTCTTTTTTCCTTCCTCTCTCTCTCTTCTTTCTTACTTTCTTTTCTTTCCTTTCTTTCCCTGCAGCAGCAAAGTCTGACCTCACGTGGCCCGGCTGGCTGGTGCATATGTATTTGGAATTGCTTTCACAATTGCCTTGCACGGTTTGTACCCAGATCGTTCCATTGCAGCTGGGTTGCAGCCCGGTGGTCCGGCGGAGGCCTGGCGGGTGTGAGGGTCCCCTCACCAGCACCCCGACGCGGATCCTGCGGAACCTGGTTTCATAACGCAGTGGTAGGCCTCAGTCCCAGCCTGTCTTCTTTCAAAGGAGTGTGCGGTCCAGAGAGCGAGGAGGGGCCCGCACAGCTCCTCCAGCTCCTCGAGCTCCTCCTGCCAGGGGCCGGGCCCCTGGATGACGGATCCATCCTGGATGACGGATAGCCGGATAGCCGGGTGCAAACACGAACCCCAAAGCACCCCCTGCGCGCCGGGGCTGCCACAGCTTCCACAGCCAGTGCAGCCGAAGCCAAGGAAGCGCCACCCCCTCCGGGGCCGGGTGCTCCTCACAGGGCGACCTCACCCATGCCTTCGCAGGGAGCCTGCTGCACCTGCGCATTAGCACCGCAGCCCAGGGCCTAGCACCACGTGCTCAGGGGGACGGCGGACAGATGGATGGATAGACAGGCTGCCCTCTAGCTCATTTTTTTTTTCTTCAACTCAAGCTCTCACTTAGCTTTTACCATTGCAGTAACAGCTCCGCTGGCAGCGTTGTGCTGGCTTGTTGGAGTCTCACGGGCTGACTTAGAACCTTGATCCTCAGACCAGCCCTGATTAGCTAGGGTGACAGGCACGAGCCACCAGCGCTGATTCATTCTGTGATTTCTTAACTGCTCGTGGAGGGAAGAGACATCCTTGTAATTTGAAAAGTGAGTGCTTTACCCAAGCCAGGGAACCCCGCCCCACTCCCCCACAAACCTCTCCATACCCAGGTGGGAGGCTTCAGGGCCTCTCTTAGGCTAGGGGAGGTCATCTTTGTGAACAGTTCTCAAGCTGTCTTTCCTGCCTTTCTGCTGAACTAGTAAATCTTTTTTTTAAATCCCTGGACAACAATGATGGTTAAAAACATGCAACAAGAGTGGGGGGTGTGGGGGAGGCTGGGAAGGGATGTGAAGGGTCAACAAAGGAGGAGGCTGCAATGCTTGATAAGAAATGTACGCATTAACCTGCCCATGTAATTGTAACCCCTCTGTACAGTGTGTTCGCAAAAAAGAAAAAGAAAAAGAAAAAAATTGCAACAAGAGCAGGTGGCCTTTTCCTGGGAACAATTCGATTCAATCATTCCGTAAATTTAACCATGATAGGCGCAGGAAGAAGCATGCAGAAGCAAGGCAGAGCGTGGAGCAGCCTGTCCCGTCTACCTAGCGCCAGACGGGGGCAGTCTCGGTGAGGATCTCACCAGATCTTCACTCCGCAAGGCTCCCTGTCCATGGACTTCAGGGGCGCGAGTTGGGGATCCTGCGATTCTCTATCTAACCCGTGTAATGCGGTGGAGGCAGAGATGCAGCTCCACGCGTGTGAACCATATCCGAGCGGGGCCTCGCGAAACACCACCAAGCCTGGGCGGTCACGTTCGCCTTCCACGCGCGAGAATCTAAGCTCCTGCCTCCGGTCGGGTTGGATGAGGCAGATGCCAGCGCTTGGAAGGTCCCTGCCCAGCCCTGGGCACACTTCTACCACCGAGTCCGCAGCCCTTGCCCCCTGCCCCGGCGGCAGGGGCCTGCCCCGGCGGGCGGCCTGCGGCTGGGTCGGGCGGACTGGGAGATCCGGGAAAGACTTGGGTGGAGCCACACGCGCGTCGCCCACCCTGAAGGCACCTGGGGCAAGACTGAGCCTGGTCTTCGGGGCCCGTGCCTCAGTTTCCCCAGAATCTCGCTCCCAGGTTCGGGACCGTCAAGGGCCCTGACTAGGACAAAACCTAGGGCCGCGTGAAAGCCAGCGAGAAGCTCCTGCTTGCTGCAGCCCCTGCGCACCCATGCGCCCTCCACTGCCTGGGCTCTATAGGCGGCGCCGGGGGCTGCGCGGTGTGCTAGCAGGTGACAGCGGCCCGCGCGCGGCCCTCGTGCACGGCGTCCAGCACTCGCAGCGCGCGCAGCCCCTGCA